CTCCTACTTTGTTCTTCTTCTTCAGTAGTGCTTTGCTTACCCGAGGTCTCTTTGCTTTCCATATAAAGTTAGTGATTGGTTTTTCCATATCCTTAAAAAATGTTGATGGGATCTGGATTGGGATTGCATTGAATGTATAGATTGTTTTGGGTAGAATTGACATTTTCACAATGTTCAATCTTCCTATGCACGAGCATGGTATGTTCTTCCCTTTATGTAGGTCTCTTATGGTTTCTTGAAGTAGTCTTTTATAGTTTTCTTTGTAAAGGTCTTTTGTGTCCCTGGAAGATTCATTCTCAAGTATTTTATTGTTTTTGGTAGCTATTGTAAATGGTATTGATTTCCTTATTTCTTTTTCAGCAATCTCTTTGCTGGTATAGAGGAATCCAACTGATTTTTGGATGTTGATCTTGTATCCTGCCACGATGCTAAATCTCTCAATTAGTTCCAGTAGATTTTTTACTGTGTCTCGGGTTTTCTAGGTATAGGATCATATCATCTGCAAATAGGGGTAGTTTGACTTCTTCCTTACCAATTTGGATGCCTTTGAACTTACTTTCTTGCCTTATGGCCCTGGCTAGGACTTCCAGTACAATGTTGAATAGAAGTGGTGATAGAGGGCATCCTTGTCTGGTTCCTGTTTGCAATAAGAATGGTTTCAGTCTTTCTCCATTGAGAATAATGTTGGTTGTTGGTTTTGCATAGATGCCCTTTATTATGTTGAGGAATGTCCCTTCTCTTCCTACTTTGCTGAGAGTTTTGATCAGGAATGGGTGTTGGATATAGTTAATAGCCTATTAACTTTATTAACTATTAACTTTCCAGTTTTGATGAATGTACCATGATTATATAAAATGTTGACATTAGGGGAAGCTGCATGAAAGGGATATAGGGACTATCTTTGCAACAGCTCTTCTGTAGATACAAAATTGTTTCAGATTAAAAACTGAGTGGTCTTGGCACGCTTGTCAAAAATCAGTTGAACCACAGATGTGGGTTTATTTATAAATTCTCAGTTTTATTCTATTGATTTATGTATCTGTCTTTATTATGCCAGTACCACACAGTCTTATTATCGTTGCTTTTTAATAGCTTTGAAATTGGGATATGTGAGTCCTCCAACTTTGTCTTTTTTTTTTTTTTTGTCCTTCAAGATTGTTTTGGCTATTCTTGGTCTCTTGCATTTTTGTATGAATTTTAGGATCAGCCTATCAGTTACCACAACAAAGGCAGTAGGGATTTTGATAAGGTTGCATTGAATCTGGGAGTATTACCATCTTAATATTAAATCTCAATGATCCATAATCATGGAATGTCTTTCCCCTTATTTAGGTCATCTTTAATTTCTCTAAATGTTTTTAATGTTAAGTGTACAAGTCTTACTTGTTTTGTTAAATTTATTCCTAGATATGTTATTCTTTTAGATGCTTTATAAGTGGAATTACTTTCTTAATTTCATTTTCAGATTGGTTATTGTTAGTGAATAGAAATATAATTGATTTTTGTCTGTTAATCTTACACCCTACAGCCTTCCTCATTTATTAGTGCTAATAATTTCTTAGGTCCTTCTTGTTGTTGTTGTTGTTTGCCATCGAGTCGACCCCGACTCATAGCGACCCCTCCTTGGGTTTCCGAGGCAGTATCACTACGGAAGTAGGATTGCCCAACCTTCCTTCCTAGGAGTGGCTGGTGGGTTTGAACCGCCAGCCGTCTGGTTAGCAAGCAAGTGCCTTAGCCACTATGCTACCAGAGCTCCTTACGATTTGCTATGTATAAGATCATGTCATCTGCAAATAGATACATATTTTACTTTCTCCTTTCCAATCTGTAATCTTTATTTCATTGACTTGCCTAGTTGCCCTGGCTAGAGCATCTGTACAGTGTTGATTAGAATGAGTGAGAATTGACATTCTTGTCTTGTTCCTGATCTTGAGGAGGATAGTATTCAATCTTTCATCATTGAGTATGATGTTAACTGTGAGGCTTTCACAGATACCCTTTATCAGCTTGAGAAAATTCCTTTCTATTCCTAGTTGTGTGTTTTGTTTTGTTTTTAATAATGAAAGGGTATTATATTTTGTCAAAAACTTTTTGTTTGCCTGAGATGATCATGTGGTTTTTGTCCTTTACTATATTAATTCTGTGTATTACATTGATTGACTTGCATATGTTTAAACAACTTTGGATTTCTGGGATAAATCCCACTTGAACATTGTGTATAATCCTTTTTATACGTTGCTGTATTCCGTTACTAGTATTTTGCTGAAGATTTTTGCATCTATATTCATAAGGGGTGTTGGTCTGTAGTTTTCTTATGTCTGATTTTGGTTTCAGGGTAATACAAGAATACTTTTTAAACTATTGCCCTGAGATAATCTTTAAACCTTAAACTGAAAATATCCCCTGAAGTCTTCTTAACCCAAGGTGATACATGTCTACCCTCTAGTGACTTATTCTCCTTTTCCCTCTCACCCCTGGTAACCTTCAAAGAACAATTCTTTCTATGTGTCTTTTTACAGTAGTGGTCTCTTACAATTTGACCTTTGGTGATTGACTAATTTCACTCAGCACAGTGTCCTGCAGGTTCATCCATGTTAGCAAGTGTTTCACAGATTCATTGTTATTCTTTAATGTTGCATAATACTGCATTGTGTCTGTCTACGTACCATAGTTTATCCATTCATCCATTGATATGTACTTACCCATTGATATCCATTCATGCAGTTAGATTCTTTCTATCTTTTTACTATTGTGAATAAAACTGAACAATAGTTTAGCTTAACTAGTAAAATAAATAAATACATCTTCCTTGAGCATTATACTTTTTTAAGTACTACCATATGGTATCATAACAACAGCTGCTTGAAAGACTAGATAGGAACTTTAAAGGGTACTGAGTTTATGTTAGTGAGGGAAGAACAACTCAGAAAAGGAGGGTGAGATTGGTTGCACACTTCAAAGAATGTAATCAGTGTCACTGAGTTGTATATGTAGAAACTGTTGAATTGCTGTATATTTTACTGTCTATATTCTCAACAACAACAAAATAAATAAAATTTAAAGACTAAAAATACTTTGAACTTTTTTCCCCACAGAAAATGATCCACAGTCTATTTCTTATAAACTGTTCCGGTGACATATTTCTCGAGAAGCACTGGAAGAGTGTGGTGAGCCAGTCTGTCTGCGATTATTTCTTTGAAGCTCAGGAGAAAGCTGCTGATGTTGAAAATGTGCCGCCTGTCATTTCAACACCTCACCACTACCTCATCAGTGTCTACCGGGAGAAGCTCTTCTTTGTGTCTGTCATACAGACTGAAGTGCCACCTCTGTTTGTAATTGAATTCCTACATCGAGTTGCTGATACTTTTCAGGTCTGTTATGCATCACACTTTTCAACTTAAATTATCCAAATTAGTTGGGTATAGGGAAAGTGGATTACCTTGACACATATTATATTCTTTAGTTACCCAGCTTTCTATGTATGGTCTCTCTCAGTCTTCTTTTTCAGTAAACATAAATTCATAAGCCCTCCTCTACAGGGTATACCGTGGTACACATAAGATTCTTAAGGCAGTATATTATTCACTATTTTAGGAGAGCAGAGCAATTTCCTGGTCATGGAAGCCATATGTGTGTGTGTGTGTGTGTGTGTGTAAATTAACGTCATCAGGAAACTAGTGTCTTCCACACACAGTTCTCTGCATGGTCCCAAGATGGTTTTTATTGGTCCATGAACTCTTCTAATATTTTATTTTCCCTTTTATCTTCCTAAATATACCAAATAATTTAAAATGTTTTGAGGCAGCTAATCAGGGCTAATGAAGTTTACAGGTTGTTACAATAATGTATGAATGTATGAAACATTATTGTTTCATATCTCAGTGTACTTTCTGGTACAGTATTTAATGGAAATTCAGTTCTTACTTTGTCTTAATTGAGAAATAATATATAGACCTCTAGAAGTTTTTTGCCCATTTTATATATTTTCAGCATCCTAAACAGTGTATTATATGAATCTAAGTTTATCCTTCAGAACAAAAAGTATTTAGTAAGCCTTGCTTTCTGCCTTTCCTTATGGAATATTATGTACATTTTCCTAGGACTACTTTGGTGAGTGTTCGGAGGCTGCAATTAAGGATAATGTGGTCATAGTATATGAGCTCTTGGAAGAAATGTTAGACAATGGGTTTCCACTGGCTACTGAGTCCAACATTTTGAAAGAATTGATTAAACCACCAACAATCCTACGTTCTGTTGTCAACTCTATTACAGGTAGGGTGAAAAGATTCTGTTAGGAAATAGGTAGTTAAAAATTTATGAATAGTTCATTGCTGCTTATTACATGACAGGTTATTCAGTTAATCCACTTTAGCTGGAATGAACGTTACTGCTAATGATTCAAAGGGGTATATACTTGTTTTCAAGTATCTAGGTCATTTTTAGAGAAAGATTTCTATGAAATATTACATGCCACTCCAATTATACTGTCTACCATTATAAACCCTTCTCCAGTGCATTGACCTAATAAAAAATGGGGCAAGAGAAGCCTGTAAGAAATATCATTCAGCAGCTCTTTATTCTCTGTGTAAAACTAAGTGTCAGGAGAACTTCAAAGAAAGATATGCTAGAGTTCTAGCCTCTTAAAACACTCTGGGAGGGGGACCAGAAAAAAAATTTTTAAGGTAAATAATAGTGCAAGATTTTAAAAAAGCAATTCCATGTTTCATGGGCAATGTAGCAACATTGGAAAGTACACAGAATATTACATTTAAAAAGCACAAAACCATAAAAAAATTATTCTTAATTATACATAGAGAAAAAAGCTGTAAAATGTTTACAGTGATTATCTCCAGCTATGGAAATATGTGTTATATTTATTTTTACTTTATGCTTGCTAATTTTCCAAATGAATATGTATGTTATAGTCAGAAGAAAAGCTCCTAAAGTAGATAAAGAAAATATACATTCATCAGACAATATATTATAAAATTAAAGGGAATGGTTCAGTGGATGAAGTAACCCCTCCTAAACTGGAGTAGATAGCCCTAGTGCAGGGCTCTGAGAATAATAGAATTTTGTAAGAAAGGGAGAAATGAGAGTATTATTCATAGATGGAATTGAATGAGAAACAGCACACACAAGATGGGTTGTACTCAGAGGATGTTGTATTAACCAGTTTAGCTGAAGCAGAGGCTATTTTTAGGTTGTCGTGAGAGATAAAATTAAAAAGGAAAGTTGTGAAAGTCTTTGACTGCTAGGCTAAATATTTAACTTTTATCATAAAAGCAGTGGGGAAATATTCAAGGTTTTGAGCAGGAAAATAACATGATTAAAGCAATGGTTTTTGAAGCTTATTCTGAAAGGCATGAACACAACTGTAAGCAGACTACAAAATTATACATATATATTTTGATTGCAATTAAATGTTAATAGTAGTTATGTTTTGGTGATAGGAAGTTAGATGATTTTTTTAAACCACTCTTCTGAACTTTCCATATTTTCTTTATTAAACTTGTATTACTTTTGAAGTATGAATTAATGAAAATATTAAATACGTCACAGATCAAGGATGTGTGTTTGGACAACCAGATTTACTTTCAGACTTATGTCTGAATTTACTAATTAATTAGCCAGATATTGAACATTAGCCATATTGCATGTAGGAATGTGTTGACCTTAAAATGGGAAAAAGCCACAGTATTTTCTTTATCCTGTTAGTCCACTCAGGCCTGCTTGGCAGCATCTCATGGAGAATTAAGCTGAATACCAAAGGTCCTAGTTATCACACTGTATTCTCAGTGGAGATACTTTATCACCAGAAAGTTTTGAAACAACCAGCCTCTTTCTTCATCAGTAGCAGCAGGATGAGATTTTTGTTTAGCTATTGGAATTAGGTTAAGTTACTGTTAACACACAGGAAGCAAAAGATAAGTAAATGAATTTAACCTGGTTTGGCAGGTAGACAGAAGACCACATGGCCTATTTCTGTCCTGTAGAAATTTGATCATGTTGGTATGGATATGTTGCCAACAGTCCTCTTGGAAACCATCCACAACTTCAATAAAGAAAACTCCAGATATTAACGAAGCTGCTAATGCATTCATTTTTTTCTGTCAGTGGCTTTCCTAATGACTGTTTTATGCATCAACTTTGTTTTCTCCTTTTCTGGTTTCTAGGCAGTAGTAATGTTGGGGATACACTCCCCACTGGGCAGTTGTCCAACATCCCATGGCGCCGGGCAGGAGTAAAGTACACAAACAATGAAGCCTATTTTGATGTTGTTGAAGAAATAGATGCAATTATAGATAAATCAGGTAATTGTGTATGTGATTTATTTGGGGAAAAAGAACTCAGTTAACATAAGCTGAATAGAAAATTGAAATCCCCTACCAGTATGGCTTATGGGGAAAGGCATTTGTTTTCTATGATTTAAGAATCCATTTATTTTGCCTGGTGGTTACATATCATTTTCATAACCACCAGTTGAAATTTGCCAAACATTTTCAAATGAGGTCTCAAGCTGCCTGACTTATTAAAAATACCTAGTCCAACCCTCATATTTTATACATATGGAAACTGAGGCTCAGAAAGGTTAAGTAACCTACTCAAGATCACACAGCTACTTCATGTATGATCAAGAGTTACTAGGAATTATAGCTGATATCTCTTCTTCAGTGCCCTTTTCGTAATAACATTCCATCTTACAGAATAATAGTTCATGATTCCTATTTATACTTTATACTCAGTATCTAGCAGTCATTACACTCTATGAAGGAGACAGGCTTGATATTCCTTAGATTTACCATATCTTAACTAGAGTTAGGTAAAAGCCGTGGCACTCAGTGAAGAAGCTGTCTAACTGGTGTAATGGATCCTCTGTCCACTGACCTGTTAATAGAGGTGCAAAGCTTTCAGTAAGTCTCACACCCAGAGGGTATCTCCATTACTCCAGATGAAGTGATAGCTCAAGTAAAGACCTAGATTCCATTGATACTATCATCCTTCTATTTCTTTCTTCAGGATCTACAGTCTTTGCAGAAATTCAGGGGGTCATTGATGCTTGTATTAAGCTGTCTGGAATGCCTGATCTTTCCCTTTCTTTCATGGTAAGTTTTATTCTCCAGTTATGTAACCTCTTGCATACCTACTATATATGAAGTAATAAATAAAATGATAAATACTAAGACAAGTTTGCATCTCAAATTACAAAGGATTATCTCAGAAATATTCCGATACAGCTGTCTAAGTCAATAGCTTCATGAGAATAACCTTTTTGGAAAGGCTATAAAAAGTTCTTTGCCCGAGTGTGCTAGAAGTAGCTTAAATTGGCTGATTTAATTCTACAAATCTGCAGTGCCGTTTTTAATGAATAACTGCTTGCTTTGCTGATATGAAAGGGCATTAGTCTTTTGCATCATTTGTAGATTTTTAGCATGACACACTGCTAAGAACAATCAAGAGAACTGAGTTTTGGTGCTACCCTGCCAGTAATCTGTCTTGACCTTAAGCTCTTTGAACTTCAGTTTTTCATGTCTGAAATGGAAATACAACTACTTGCCTTTTCTATCTCATAGAGTTATCAAAATTCAAATAAAAGAATACATACAAAATGGTTACAAACTAAAAGTGACATGGTCATAGTAACAGACACTTACATAATGGTGTATCTTTAGGGAACACAGTAACTTTTCATAATACCTGAATTGATTTGCCATATTCATTATACCCTATGAATATGACTATCTTGTGTTTCCTTGGCAGAACCCAAGACTTCTGGATGATGTCAGCTTCCACCCTTGCATCCGGTTCAAGCGTTGGGAATCTGAAAGAGTTTTGTCATTTATTCCTCCAGATGGAAATTTCCGACTCATATCATACCGTGTCAGCTCGCAAAAGTACGTTGATGCCTGCTGTCCTTTATCAGTGTGCTGAGTAGAAGTCACCTTTCCCTGTTGGATTCTTCTAATTGGGTACTTGAGTTCTTTCTTGCCCCTTTTAGCCATGGTTTGCCAGGAGACCAAGGGAAAACTGGTGAATGTCTGAACTAATCAGTGCCTCTTGAATCTTAAGAGTACTATAGGTGTAAATGGGATTGTATTACAATCCATAGCTGAGAGAAGCATTTGGGACTATGCTATAACCTAGGCAAAACCTTGAAGCTGTGCCATAATTATATCATATCTGTAGACTTTGTGGTTGCCAGTGGGAGACAGACCTATCTACAGCTCCCCAGGACATTCCCCAGCTAACCAGCTTCAAGTTTTCTTCTCTGCATTGAATTTTAAATGGATGATATAGTGCTTTGGTGCCTAGTTGGTTTGTCTTTTTGAAAACAGTCAGAATATACTTAGGTAACATCAGGACAGGACTAAACAAAGCAGAGGGATTATTTCATGATACTTACCATGTAAAACTGCTTTATTTACTTTATAGACTTTTAAATAATCTTTCTGTGAGATCTTAATTCATTTCTTAAAACTAGGGCTATTTGTCCCAATTGTTAAGCATCAGATTCTTATCTTGACTTGTATACTTGTTGCTTAGAAATCACACAGTTCCAAGCACAACGATACTACTCTACTGTACTCCGTTCCCCTTGGGCAGATGCTGAATTTGTAGTTCTGGAGGTGTAGGTCCCTATAGTTGGGATTAGAGACAGGGTAGGATGCTCTGGACTCGGGTTTTCAGACTACTTCTGGAGCTGTCCTCCACCATTAATTGTATGTGTGTGCTTTTATGTCTGTCTTTCTCTTGTTAGTCTAGTGGCAATTCCAGTATATGTGAAACATAGTATCAGCTTTAAGGAGAACAGTTCTTGTGGACGATTTGATATTACAATTGGACCAAAGCAGAATATGGGAAAAACAATTGAAGGAATCACAGTGACAGTTCACATGCCAAAAGTTGTGCTGAATATGAACCTGACACCAACACAAGGCAGCTATACATTTGATCCAGTCACCAAGGTACAGCTACTTCAGATCAAGAGTGAGCAAGTGTTTCTGCAATCTTTATTTTGTGATTGGGGGGTGGAAAGGACAGGGTAGTGTCATCTTTAAATTTAAAGTTCCTATCAAAATCTGGAGAGATCACTGTACCACTGACTGTGGAAGGAATCCTGCACCTGCTACTGAGTAGATGAACAGAAAAAGCTGTACCAGTGAGGCACATTCTGTCCTCCTTCAGAGTGCGCCTTTCCTTGTTGTTACGTGCTGTCGAGTCGGACCCGACTCATAGCAACCCCTCCTTGGGTTTCTGAGGCGGTGTCACTACGGAAGTAGATTGCCCAACCTTCCTTCCAAGGAGTGGCTGGTGGGTTTGAACCGCCAACCTTCTGGTTATCAGTCAAGTGCCTTAGGCACTACGCTACCAGAGCTCCCGCACCTTTCCTTAACCAGTGATAATCCAGAGACTCATTCCACTACTTAATGAGAAATAAGGTGCAAAAGCTCTTTTAAAATAGAAAAGCAATACGTGCATATAGGAAGCTATCACTATAATCCACTTGTTGTTCATTTTTCTTTGGAAATTGATCATTAAGACCTCTCTTTTCCTAATGTAAAAGCATAATACTCTTCCACAGGGTACATTGCTAGGAAAGCTGCTCCCTAACTCTATATAAACATGCCTCTACCAGAAAATTTTCAAAGAAGCTGTGAAAGTCATTTTCTTTTAGCTTCCTGTTTGAGTAAAAAAAAAAAAATGATTCTTTCCAACAGCAGAGCCATCGAGCTGCCTGATAAATGAAAGGGAATATTTCTGAATAAAATGATAGAAGGTCAAAGATCACGAGTCCTAAGGTTTTGAAGAACCTCCCCAGAGACCACAACCACACAGGCCTGAGAGTAAAGGGGAAGCTCCAAGTCCCTGGCAGTTTCACCCACCTTCAACCATAATAAGCTCACCTTCATCTCTTACTAAGCTTCCACACTTAGTATTGCATTTGAACAAAGGGTTCCTTACCTAAAGGTTTAAGAAAACACTGATTTAAGCCATTCTTCTAATTCTACAGGAAAACAATTTGAGGCCCAGGAGAAGCAGTAAAGATGATACAATGGAAAAAAATATTTGAAGTCAGATAGTCGTAGATTCATATCTGAACCTTGGTTCTAGTGTGACCCTGAACAAGTCATTTGATCTCCATGAGCCTTATTTCCTCATTTATAAAAAGAAGTAGAGGCTCAACAAAGGTTGATTCTTCACCCTCCTTCACCATTCAAGGTCACAGAGCTGATTCCTGGTAAAACTCATTGTAGATTCCTGATCTGTCTTTTCCAAAACACTGTGCTTCATTTTGTATGGAAATTTATGATATCATCACTTTGTCTTTATCAAGTGATTCAGATTGTTGTTTTTTTGTTTCTTTTTAAGGTACTAACATGGGACGTGGGGAAAATTACTCCACAAAAGCTCCCAAGTCTTAAAGGACTGGTGAATTTACAGTCTGGAGCACCCAAGCCAGAAGAGAATCCAAGCCTCAACATACAGTTCAAGATCCAGCAGCTTGCTATTTCAGGTAAAGTAATATCATCAGTTTGACTATGCTTAAGGGTAATTAAATTTAGCTGGGCTCAATTATTAAGAGCTTAGAAGGGTTACTAACATTTCCTTTTTAAAAAGAAAAACACTTCTAGTTTGCCTTTTACACTGTGTGGTGGTGCTCACCTCTCAGCTATTAATGATTTCACAGTTTCTCTCACTCCCACCTTCATTCAAGCACCAAAGAAGGATTCATTTATACTCAAAGAAAAGTAGAATTACCCTTAAAAAACATAAGCCTGCCCACTTGAGAGTCTGAACTAAAACCATCCACCAACAGTACCATAAGAAAAGAATGGTAGAAGGAACTTTGCTTCCAGATGGTGGAGGGACCCTGGTAAATATCAAAAGATTTACTAGATAATGCTCATTGCTAAACAAACAATTGTATTCATTGGTGTAACCAGGAAGATATTAATTTATTCCTTTCCTTACCTATTCTTTTTGATACAGGCTTAAAAGTAAACCGCCTGGACATGTATGGGGAGAAATATAAGCCATTTAAAGGAGTGAAATATGTCACGAAAGCTGGAAAGTTCCAAGTGAGGACATGAGAAGAGGCCAAAATTCTTCAAGATCAGTTTGTTTTCCAAGTGTCGTTACAGTATATTACTATTAGGTACCAAGTGGGTGGGAATACATATTCTAGTTAAAGCATCTGTGTCAAGCTACGCACCCTAAGAAAGTAGCTTAGTAATCAGTGTAGGGGTCTTAAGGAGCTTTAAGCTAAGGAAACTTTTGTGATGACTTAGCTTATTTTATATCTTTTCATTAAGGAAGATTTGGGAGGTGATTTTCTGTATAGGGGTTATTAGTTGGATGCTGCACATAGTTAACAGTAAAGGTAGAAGGCTATAGTGATAAGCTCTCTCTTAAAACAAATGACCTGGTCTCAGCCTAGCAGGAGCCATCCTAACATGTGATGTGATTTGTCAGGTGCAGTCAAATGTCGTATCTTCTGATCTTGCCCATCCCAAATCAGCATCTGTCCCAACAGAGGAAGATTCCCCCCTACCTGGCCCTAAGAAGTTTACAGGAAACTGCCTCTTCAAGTGTTTGCCTTATTCAGCTTTTCACTTGTGCCATTAAGCAAGCACTGTAGCAAAAGCCACTTCTACATGGCCCTGGCAGGGAGCACTGCTGCTCCATGCTCCCCTCTCACTGTACTTGGTATTGTATTTTTTATAAATAAGATTTTTTTGTAAAACTCAGATTTTTATTTACAAGGACCTTGCTGCAGTAAATACCATCACAATTTTGTGCCACTGGTTCAGTTGTTAGATAGCACAGTAAAAATCATGTGGATCAAAGGGGTGAATGCTTTATAAAGGTAATAAAAGGGAACACTACTTCTGCTTTTAGGAAGTTCTGCAAGCACAAGCATTTGAGCTCTTAAGCAAATTCAAGTAGTAAAAGAGAAACTGAAGCTGAAACCTTTGCCACCTTCATGTTTTATAAAGCTTATCTACCACCACTTAAATCATAGTTAGCCTAAATGCTTCATGCCCCTAGTTTAGCAAAAGGAAAGAAATGTGCCTGCCTCACTGTCCTCAGCCATTTTTTTTTTCTTTTTTCTCTTTTTGGTTGTTTTTCTTAAGAGCTTGAATTTGCCTGCATCCCTTGTCTTTAGGGCAAATTCGTTTTTTCACATTATGTGCTTGTCACACAGAGAATCTCAGTAGACTACAACTTAACTTCTTTTCTAAAACTACAGTTTTAATTGTTACTGGAGTTCTTGCTGTCTCTACTGTCCTGATAAAAGTACATAAAAGTATGTTATACTGAGGCAGAAACAAAACCCTCAGTAACACTGATGACACCATTTTATCATGTTCACTGGTCAGTCTAAGGTTGAAGTATCACTCAACCTCAGTGACTTGGAAGGCTAAATAATTGTTTTTTCTGCATGTTTCCCTCTTGTTCTTACTTATGCTATTAGGTTTCTTCCCCTTGTGGCTCCTTTCTTTTTATTCTCAGCTAAGCAAAGTCCTTCTTATACTCTCCCATTTCTACTGTCAAGGACTAGTGGTTGGTGCTGGTGCAGAGAATCCTGCACCTATACAACAGCATTCTTACCTTTACCTGCCTAGGGCACCCAACTTGTCTTTCATCTAATACAAAAGGCCAGTTTTTGCAACTTCTTAATTTCTAGGATGACCAGTCGCAGATTGTCAACTAAAATCAAGTTGTTGGCAAATATATATTCCCTTTGCCTAAGGTTGATGCCCTGGTTCAGTTGCTTCATTTTCATTGTCTTCCTTTTCAGAGTTCTTACCTCAAAAGAACAATCAGAACTTCTGCTTTTCTTTCTACAGAATCCCTAATCGCAACTATTCATCATCCCCAGACTGTTCAATTTTCCTCTTGTGCTATTTTCTCTTATATACAAGCAGAGTGTGTGCCAAGAGTCCCTTGTCGCTAGAAATTTGTCCCAAGTAGACTTTTTCCTTTTACAATTAAATTATTATATTTATTAATTTGATAGAATCTAGTAAATCCTTTCTCTAGCTCTAGCTATACTGTCAATAAAGAGATAAAAGCAACAAGGTTATTTTTATTTATTTAAGCTTGACTGTAGATTGAGCATGCTCAGATGGAAGGCTCAATGCTGGAGCAGGCTGAACATCGTCAGAGTTCATTCCTTATCATCACATAAGGTATGGGAATAGCTGCCAGCACTTCCACATGCTCCTGTCTTACCCTCAATATATTAACACCATGCATGCTTTTTCCAAGCATCACTCTCCTTTCTGGCCACAGATTTTGAGCAGTAAGTGATCAAAGCTACTCACTCACCCATCCACCACCACCACCTACCAATAATAAAGATCCCCATGTATACTTGGTAGTAATGGAATAATGGGATATTTTTTCAAGCACAGAATTTAAGCTAATCATAGAATAACCCTTCTAATTTTTTTTTTAATCGATGATGATGTTCTTTTTAAATTCTTAAGGGAGTATATCCCAAATGCAAGTGAAGTAGATCCTCATTTTTCACATGATTGCAATTTCCATCATTTTATTCAAAGGGAACTCATCTGATGGATTTATTCTTGAAGTATGGTGTTAAAGAATCCTTGGAAGATGCTGTTCTTATTGTCATTAGAGTCAAATGACTTAAGAAAAAACAACAAAACTTTAATGCATCAGGAAGGCAGCACCAATCAACAAATGGCACATGGCAAAATGAGGCTATGAATACTGTTTTCAGAGATTACTGAGCTAATTCAGGAGTTTTAGACATTTCCATTTACCTTAAGAATCTGCCTCTCTGGTCAGCAACTTTTCTAACTTAAAAGCCGCGATAAATTCACTTAGCAGCACTGAATAGTGCCCCTTAATGATGTTTGCTCCTTTCAGACCTAGAAAATCAAGTTAAAAAAAACAGTGATGCCCCAACTCTATCCCAAGAGCTCCTACTTTGTTTTAGACAGTGCTTCATCAAGCAAGAAGAGAAATATGTCCCAAAAAGCTACCTCTGCCTCATAGCTCTGGTAGCCTCCTGACAACTTCACTTTCCTACACTGGGCTTTGGAATATTGGACCTGTGGTACTACTCACATTTAACAGCTTCTGAGGGGACAGGGATGATCTCTGTCAACAGCTAGACTCTTCCAAGATGAAAACAGATTACTTCAACCATGGGAAAGGGGAGTGGGGGGGTGATCCTCATCATTCGGCTGCTTTCCTCCTGTCCCCTTTGTCACTTCCTCTCCTAGGGTGTAATGCCCAAAATTGTTTTTTATCACAGATCCTTGTTAAGTAAATACACTTTTGCTGGTTTCTGGTTCTTCTGATACATTTTGATGAAATAAAAATCTTTTTAGATTCTAGATCTTGAGGATTAGTTGCAATGACTACTTTTCAAGGAGAAACACAACCAAAAGGTTCTGGCTAAAACAACACCCATCTTTTAAAGCATTTTTTTTTTTTTATACAAATGCACTTTATTGTTTAAACAGAACAAAAGAGGCAGAAAATATTTGCATATAACAAATCCTAGCTTAAAAATGTAATATTTTAGGGGTGACATCTGTAATCATCATTCAAGGATTTAATTACTTTTTCCTTTGCTTCACTGTGTCTTGAGCATTGATATTGCAAAGCACATCTGGCATAAACCAGTGACTTAAAACTCTGGAAGAACTTGGAGAGCAAACATGATTTTTCTTATTTCCTCTAAGTCATCTTTAGTAAAGTAAAACAAAAGGTGATCTTTGGCATAGATTCATACTTTCAAGGCATTAATATTGCATTTATATCAGATAAGCAACTACACAAATATGCTGAGGACCTTGAAAATAACGTTCATCAGTTAAGGAAATAGAAATCTTAGTGTGCAGGACCAACTTAAGTTTTACACATTCAGTGTTGGGGTCTGTCATTGGGGGTGGGAGGAAATGACATTCAGGTAGGGGTTCTTACTCTTATATTCATCTGGTTCTGGCTTTGGGAAGTACATCCTTTCATGCTGGGGAATGCTTAAATAGCAGTGGTAAGTGCAAAAAAAATCACTTTGTTTAATAGGAAACTTACTATGATGATAATTAAACATTATACCCTTTACTCTCAAACAGTCACACTTGTGGATGGACTGCAAGGGGCTTTGTTGTTAGTTGAAGGGAGACAGGAATTCCAGAAGAGTATTTCCCATTGATTCATCATGTAAATCCCAGCAGTGCCAGAATTCTAGTCTGCAGCTACTATTCTCCCTAGGAACTGTCCTTCAGACTTCCCATTAAACACTCAAGGGGCAAGCACCAATTCTTAGGACTGAATTTGAGAAGAATAAAAAGGATCTTTTAAAATTACAGATGAAGAAACACCTATATATCTTTAAAAATCTTGTTTAGGAAGGGGATGGAGGAAGAATAATAAAAGCCAGGATAGGAAACATAATTTGGTTAAAAATTAAATGCAGCATTTCAGCTCAGAAGAACAATAAGAGCTTAGAATAAATGATAAGGCCTCAGCACAGACCTCTGCAGGCAGTGACAAAGCGTGGAGCGCCTGGGAGTAGCCCCCCTGGGAGGATGGCAGGACTATACCCCTGCTACTCTGCCCCTCCAGTGACAAAGAGCACCAGGACACACAGTATGTTCCTGCGATGGCCACTTTGGCAGGCCAAGGCAGGAAACGGGGCCAAGGTTTCCCTAGCACAGCCATTGCTCTGGGGCATGCTGAAGACAGAATCGTGTGATTCTGTGATTTACTCCTGACAGAATGAAATTTGGTTTTGCACTGTGGAAAACGAGAAAGATTAAATCAGGGAAGGGCAAAACATGAGTCTAAACCCCAGATATTGGGCCTCCCCAGAGGCCACCTTCCCCTGCAGCAGCAAGGCTCACTTCTGAAAAGGACCCAGGTAGCACAGCCCAGGCAAGGCAGGCAGGGTCAGCAGCAACATGGAAAGCTCAAAACAATCTTTGGAGGCACAGTGATTTCCTTCTTAAGTGACTTGCTTGGGCCCTGGGTCTTAGAAGCCTGGATGGGAGAATGGAGCCAGGGAATAGGAAGTAGAGAAGGCTTCTTTGAAGGAACTGTCCTTTGGAGGACAGGGACAGAGAATGATGCCTGGCTAGTGTTCACTCTTGGATTCTGAGCTTATGATAATAAGTCCATGGGCTAGGGGCTAGAGACTCGGTCTGCCTAGTGGGACAGAGTGTGCACAAATATAACTGTGTTTGAGAATACAGGTTTTATACGGAGACAGTTTCAAAATGTGTCCTCCATGACAAAAGAGTAAATAATGTTTTCTAATGTGAAGAGGCCCCTTTCCTTTCTGATGTGACAGGCCAGGATGTGGCTTTCAACCCCCCAGTAATGCTGGGAGGCTCCTGGGACTCAAATAATTTTCCTTCTGTTTAGTAGAGGTTTCTGTGCCAGCCATGTTTGGCCCAGGCCCTACTGATACCAGGGAGTCTTTCTAACCCAGCGCAGTGTAAATCCAGCATCTGTTCGAATTTTGATGGAAGCTGCTTCTGCTTCTCTCACAGTCTCCTTCACAGACTGCATAAGATTCTGGGCATTGTGAACCAGCATCTCTGTGGCCTGCAAGGAAAGGAGCATTCTCTTATTACTGTCAGTTACTGGTGCAGCCCATCCTTGAAACAAGCTTAAGCCAGAGATAGCTGCAATTAACCCCATTTGCACCTACCATCCCTTGTAATTGCTTGCATCATCTTCTGGACCACCAGAAAGAACCTGAAACTGGGTCCATCCTGATTGTATACTGTGCACTCAGATGGCCCTATAGCAGGTACTCTTTCCTGTCTTTAAATACCCTGCCTTAGCACCCTACTCTGTTTCCTTTAACTGGAATGCTCTTCCTCCAGGTATCCCATGACTTATTTCTCACCTCCATCAGATCTCTGCTCTTGTGTCACCTTGGGGTGGCCTTCCTTGTTTACGCTTTTTCAAACTGCTAACCAATTCCCCAACCCCCCAACCTGCCTGATCCTCCAAGTCTTTCTTAATTTTTCTCCAAAGACGTACAATATATTTTACCTTGGTTTTTTGTTTGCTTGTTTTATCTGTCTACACACTAAAATTTAAGTTCCATGAAGGCAGAGATTTTTGTCAGTTTTGCTTAATACTCTACCCCTAGTGTTTGGGACAGTGCCTGGCACGTAAAAGGTATTTCATAAATACTGAATGAATGAATGAAACCACCAAATAAACCAAATGATCTGTGAAAAATCTAAATTGCACACAAACTCACAGGACTAGGACCACACTGGTACTCTACCATAAAAAGGGAACTTGGCAATTTATTAGCCCACTAATTCTTAACTACTTTCACATTACAGACACTTGGAGAATTTGATAAAGGCTGTGGACTTTCCAGTAAAAATGCTCACAGGCACAATATTTGTGCATGTAATTTCAGAGAATTCATGGACTCTGAGAGGCCTAACTATAGGCTAGAGTTCCTGGTCAGCTGGTATCTTTGCTTAGTTGACAAAGAGGGTGAGGCCCAGAGAGGTTCAGAGATTTGGAACAACTATGTTTTCTTCCATTCCACCACACTGCTACTTTACAACTTTTTCACTGGAACATTTATTAGGACACAGTAGATATACTTTTTTTGGTTAACTGATTAACTGGATGATAAGGTCTGACTCTCTAACCTTATCCTTCCTTCCCCATTTTTTCCACTTCCCTCTCTTTGGACAGAAGAGATCACATTCATTTGTAAAAGTTCCTTAAAGCTGAATTAAATTGCTGTAAAACAGCACAGAAAGCTGGCAAGAAACCAGAAGCAGCATACACACGTACCTGCTCAGACTCCTCATCACTGATGTTGGTCCGGCCCAGCATGGTGGCCTTCACTGTGGACAGGATTTTGAGCTGGGTGCTTATAGTTGGGATTCTCTCACACACCTGAGGAGAAAGTTTAATTTAGTATGTTTCCATGTTTATCTTGCTTGCAAGCTCAGTAAATTAGCAGCAAGATTCCACATGTTTTCTCCCCAGGGTTAGCACAGTCCCTTTGCCTAGAAGTGTAAGCATTCAAATTCTTTCATTTAATTAGGAAATATACTTTCTTAAATCTGTCCCAAATACACAGTTTCCTCTCTGCTATTTCTCCTCTGAGGGAGCTCTGGTAGCATAGTGCCTAAGGTACTTGACTGCTAACCAGAAGGCTGGCAGTTTAAACCCACCAGCCACTCCTCAGAAGGAAGGTTGGGCAATCTACTTCCATAGTGATACTGCCTTGGAAATACAAGGAGGGGTCGCTATGGGCTGGGTCCGACTCAACGGCACATAACAACAACATTTCTCCTCTGAAGTACCTCTTCCCTACTCCCACTTTTCTCTCTCCCATCTCCCCCCTACCACTTACCCCCCTCACACACACACACACACACACACACACAAAGCCTCCTTTCCCAGTACCTGTAAGAGGTTGGTTCTAATCCGCTTATCTGTGCACTGCTTGGCAACCTCCTTCGCCAACCGAGTTACCTCATCTGAGGCCTTGGCAATGTCCTTGGCGCATTGGATCAGTGCCCTCTTGGTGCCACTGCCCCCTCTTACCAGCCGAGACATTTCAGCCATCAGCAGAGCCATGCGTTTGGCTGCTGCAATGATGTCATTGCCCTAGAGAGAAGCAAAGATACAGTATAACACCCAGCCCATCTTCTGGTCAATTTAGGGAAGGAAGCCGGAACAGAGATGAGTGGAGGAAGCCTGCTGCACTAGCAGCCCTTCTGGAAGAGTGAGAAAAGGATAAAAGGACTGTTTCTGAGCACTGGAGAAACAGACAAAGAAAAGAGTGAGCCAGGGCACTCTCCCCAGCACACAGTGAGAGAAAGAAAAGTACTGCCTAACTGAAAAGAGGGAAGACCTGGATAATTAGTCTGAAAGGGCAACATATATGTTCCAGACACAGCACTGAATGAATGAGCACTTCAGCATCTTCAAGTTAATAACATCAGTGAAATGGGGCGCAGAGCCAAGGAGCTGGTTAAACAGGCATTTTCCTTTCTAAAAGGGGAAAGCACTAGAGCTGGCCTGAAGGGAAAAATAAGAGGACCCTTTCCAGATGCTAAAATCATCTCCTTCATCCTTACCCTTGTTGCAAGTAGCAGCCAAGGACTCTCCCTGCTGAACTAGAATTTAAAACCCAGCCTGGGTAAAAGGGGAAAAAAAGGGTATCATTTTCTAATCTACACTGCTCTAGCCCAACCACTGTGCCTTTTTGTCCTGTCAACCTGAAGGAACAGGTTATTTTAATTTTTCATATTAAAAAAGGCCAAGATTCAATGTTTTGGTCTCCTCTGCTAAGTGAAGGGTCCAATTAAAAGAAACTTCCGCTAGGGCAATTAGCTTAAGAAGTGATCAGGAAAATCAAAATCATGAGTCTGGGCCTAAACAGAAGACGCACTCTAACTACTGGCAGTTGATCTTGGATTTGACATTTTGGCTCATTAAAACCTTTGTTGGACGTACTAAAGAAATGTGTAAGTAAGTTATGCCTCTCAATGCTCATATTCTGGCTGATAAAAACCAAAAATAACAAATGCAAAGTGGTAAGGCAATGTTCAAAATCACATTAAAAAACCAGGCCCTACTCATTTTTCCCCTCACGCTTTTCAATTTCTACAAAATAGAGTGAGGCATACACAAAACACGCCACTGCAGGGCCTCTGTGTGAGGCCTCCACAAGCACTGTTAAGTGACTGACAGTTGATGCTGGAATGTGTGTAAAACTCAGGCAGGAATTGAGGCAGGAGAGAACGAAGGTATGGGAAGGGGATATGTTAGAGAAGGCCCTCTGGACCCGCCTCTTCCAGTGCAGATCTAAGGTGATTGCAGGATTCATGACTGATTAGAAAGCAGTATAGTACCAGGGTTAGTCATTGCTCATCACTTTTCAAACTCTTTCTTCTTGCAACATGCCACCTTAAAAGGAAAAAGAGGTTACCCCCTAAACTAGCTTTGGTTTTAGTCCCCAAGGCCAAAGCTCTGTTGCTGCCACCCTGCAGCCTTGAGTGCTCTCAGTTCCTGACTCCCACCCCCTACCACTGAGACACCTGGATAAGCAGTCAGTGAAGGCCCCTTCCCTGTGGATTCCCATCAAGGCCAGCATCTGCCACACAGCCAAGTGCAGGGCAGCAAGCAGTCCTCCCCAGAGTCCCTGCTGTATAAAGCTGCTACCCACCAGATCAATTCTGCCTGAGCCATCAGTGAGAGGTCAGCAAGGGACAGGCAAAGTTCAAGGGTCAGGCCAAGTGACCTCTTGAATTGTCTATAATGGTTCCTGACCTGGAAGTCATTGAGAGGCTCATCCACGGCTTCCCAAGGGATTTAAGGTCCCAACAGTGGCCACAAGGTTGGTAAGAGGGAATCCTTTCAAAAAGTGACTCCATCTCTCCCCAGCCCCAAACATAAATGCAATTCAATTAATCTGGCATTAGCAGACCTATCAAACTTGTGAAGCCAGTCTTAACAAGGTGCAGACAGACAGATGCCCACCCTACTCAGACTCACAGGACCCGCACAGATCATGAGTGATGCAATGTGTCAAGGCTGCACATGGCCGGATGCATTTGGAGCAGCCCCCAACTGGAGGTGCTAATCAGTACCTTACTAGACCACTTGGTAGCTTCCCGGTGCAATGACTGAGCCGCGGCCAGAATGGGCTGGTTGACCGGCTGATTGGATGGCATTAACAGCAGCTCAGGTTCGTAATCGTCTTCCATGTCATGGGGAACAGAGAACCCAACAGCATCAGCAGCATCTGCCTCAGCTACAACACCTATACCCACCTCAGCGGCTGGGTTACCCGGCTTTGTCGATGGCGGGAAAGGATGAGAAACGGATAGTGTTAGTAGGAGCGGTAGGACTTTGGAAACTGAGCTTTGGCTGGTTTAGTAACTAAAGCTTGCCTGGGATGGGAAAGAAAATGGCATACTTTCCAGGAGCCGGATGATCCAAGCACCACAGAAGGGGAAACGGTCAGCCTCTAAGCCTAAGCCATCCTGTGGTGAATGAAGGAAAGAGATTCACTCCAATGGCTCCAATGGCAAAGGGCTTCCAAAGAAATACTTATACCACGAAAGCAAGTGGCATTCATTTTCTATACACTTACTACCAAGGTTAAGCTTGCCAAAAGTAATTCTCATGTCAGAACATTTTTGTGGAGTCAACCAACTAAACAATAGTAGCTGAGTACCTTTAAAAGGAATCCAGAGAGAAAAAAAATAAATGTAGCCATACAAGTTGCTTTAAATAGAACATAGTGAACACTCATATGGACACTGTCTACATTGGGACATAGTAAGCAATACCACTCAGCTTTGCAGTTACCAGATGCAGATTATTATTACTGTGCAGAGTTAAAAGTCCCAGAATTAAAAAACTATACATCAGTGGTAACAAATGCCAAACCAGAAAAGAATCAGGAGAACAAACACAATGGCGAGTGAAGAGGACTTATCAAATACCCCATAATCACCAAGCTGAAACGAACCTCAAGAAAACACTTTGTCTAGCCTCCCATCTCAAAGAAAATCCAACCTTAAGCCCAGCTTTCTCTCCCTTCACGGTCTCCAGAAACAGAACTTCTACTATCTCTTACTGTACCATTGCTAGTACCATCTCAGAAAGCTTTTCATCCTTGGCTACAATCTAAATCTCACTCATCCCAAACTCACTTAGTTCACCGATAAGACAACACATGGACCTGGCAACTGACTAGGCTGAGAGGTACCCTCAGAGGAAACCAAAATTGGTGTCCAATACAGAATAGGAAACATGACAGGGAGAGAATAAATTTAATACCAGGGATGGGAATTGTGAAAGGCCAGAAGAGGAGGCAGGGGGATCGGCTACTGAAAATAGGCTGGAATAGAAAGGAAATACAAGGAATTGCCTCAGTGAGGCAAAACCACTTACATGAGGAAAAATGAACAGAGACCACAGGTACTTTATGACAAACATCTTTGATGAAAAAGAAGTAGGAGTTTGTATAGAACTTGGAGATTGTTATTATTTCTAAAAATCTCATCCTGCATAGGAAGCCAGTCTCTACAGAGTAACAAGCTAGAGGATTCAAGACCAACGAGGAGCTCGGTTACCATTGAAACCCTTTCCCCTAAACTCTGTCTCAGCCAAGACTCATGCACACTTAGAGGAGAGGCCAGCTCCCTGTTGCTGGGGTTCAGCATCTAAACCATACAAAGACAGAGTCTCACACACACACTTCAAATAGCCCCTGACCTCACACAGCTCAAAGCCAGCAATCCCCTGAAACTCCAAAAACTCTAGAGGCTGTCATACCTAAGGACTTGTGGCCATCAATGCCCAAGTGGGGTTAATGTGTAGGCCAACATTGCCTACCCCCTTTAAAGCCTTTTTAGTTAATCTTTATACTGCGATTCAAATTTCTTTTAGAAATATTTGCATAAAACTATCCTTCCTTGTTCCTTTCTCCTATTGCCATGGCCACTAGGATACTACCACATTGTCCCAAGGTGGGCATGCCCAAGTTGGAAAGATATTATTGTAAATAATTCTACAAGTCATGTCTAACACCAACAAGGTCCTATTCCTCTTTAGAACCCAGGCTCACAGCTAACAATCCAGAAAAACAGAGTTCAAAACTAAGGTCAATCCCCAGCCTAAAAAAATCCAAGATCAGCTGCATGTGCTGGAGGCCCCTGGGAAACTACATTCAATACAAGAGGTTGAGAAGACTGAGGATGTGGAAAAAATAAGGCAAATAGGTGGCGGGAACAAAGATACAGGGTCATATTAGAAACAGTTTAGGACTGCATTAGAACTACATTTTACTATACGTTAGTGATATTTCACTCTTTTCTAGAAAGGTACTACTCACTTTTCATCATTTAAGGGGAAATTAAGCAAAAGTTATTTATGGGGCCTGATTCAGGGTCTGATTGCTGCAGCATCCAAATTTTTATCAACCACATCAATATTTACACTTTGAAATTTGCCGAGTTGGAGTTAGCCTACAGCCATCTTGAATAGAAAGGTAAGATGATTCTGATAAAGGACAAAGCACATGGCTTCTAAGACCATATGCCAGCTTGGTTTTTGCCAGCTTCTATGAAAAAACAGAAAGAAAATGCAGACATTTTATCTCACAGACAACAAGGAAGACAGTTTCATATTTGGTGCTCTAATAATTAGCAATGGAGCATCTAAAAACAGCAATCTCAAGGAAGATAATCATTTTCTAAAAGACAACAAGGTCCAGGGTCAACGCAGCAGACACTATAATGGACAAACAGAAAAGCAACCTTTTTCTCAAAGCACAGACATCCTACCTCTAACCTCTTTGCTAGAAGGGGAAATCATCAAGCAATGGAAACCATTTCACTAAGACACAGATAACACAGGAACCAAAGCAGAGAGGAGTGGCTTTCCAAATAGATTCTGCTTCCTGGGCTGTGTGCATGGTTAATCCATTCTGAGAAGGCATCCTTTCTCAACAAGAAAAGCTCCATTCCTTACCTTACTGGACCATTTGCGAGCTTCATCATGGAGCTGCCTGGCAGCCATCATCATTGGCTGGTTAATCACCTCCCCAGCTTTCTGCTCAGGGAACTCTTCATCCTTCTCCTCTGGTGGTGGGGGCCTGGGTGGAGGGACCTCACCCTCAGGCAGAGGTGGTTTGGGAGGAGCAAGCTCATCTGTTAGCTAAGAAGTAGATTGTAATAAAGCCTTAGGAACTATTTCCCATGAGAATGCTTTCCTTTCCTCTAAAAAAGCATCCCAAAAAAGCCATCACAGTCTCCCTGAGATGATGAACACTATGCCACAAGGACCAATAGAAGCCTATTTTCTTCCTTTTTCTCATATAGAAAGCTAGCAGCTACCATTTTGGTCATATCAGGAAGGTATGCTCAGCACTACTGGACCAAGGATGCTTAAATATCCCCATGGAAGACCTAAGTTATGGTCTGATTTTGCTGGAAGCAAACTAAGGAGGCAAGTGACTTCTGACTTGGGCCTCAGGTTCCCTGTCTGTCGATAAGGGGTAGTTAGAACAGATATCACTAAGATCTTCATTTTAATGCCATGACTCTTAATCACATAAGAACCTGTTCCCCAGGAATACCCACTATCCCATCCTTATCCACCACTAAGAGCCTAGTTGGAAAGAATCAAAGTAAATGTTGGAGGATGTGGAAGCACTTGTTATTTAACTATGGGCACAATGACCAAATTTTGCCATTGATCAACTTAGAAACTTACATCTATTACTGACATTAAATGTGGAAAGTAAATCAGAGTAAATCAAACTATTCCCTAAATGGGGCTATTCCCAAACTCAAAGGAATTTCCACTAGTGTTAGATGGAGTAAATGTCTAAAATAATCACTACTTCTGTATTTAGAATTTGTATCTGCAAGCTATTGCTCAGCTAGCCTTCTCCTAAACCATTTGACTATAGAAGAATATATCCATGGTACTTTGAAGACTTCAAAAGATTTTAAATTACAAGCGGGGTAAAACAACAGCAGTTTTTGTTTTTGTTTTTAAATAAAACAAGCATGCATTACTTTTGTTAGTTAAAAAAGATATCAAGTAAAGGAAATAACACAAAATTCTAACCACCTTAGTTTTACTGTTGTGAACGGCAATACACAAAAACTTCTCACAATGAGCAATGCAGAGTATTTTACCAATACTCGCTAACTTGTCCCACTAATTTATCACTCATCAAATCCACACTTACCGAAGCCACTTCCTCAGCTCCAGCCACTCCCCATCACAGCACACGAACACCACAGACACCCACTTACCCAACACACCCCATGCATGAGCATGGGTTATGACTCCACAGATTCAAGAATGATAATCCCGTTCTACCTCCAGGTTTTAGCTTCAAGTGAAAGCTAAACAAAGCTACCTAGTGATCGAGGGTCCAGGATAGTCCACCTCTTTCTTGGTATAGTGCCAACACTTTATAACTCAATTCTCCCCATCTCTTCTGAATTTACTTACGCGAAGCTGTTCAAGGTCTGGGGGAGGAGGTGGGAAATCAGGCTCCTGAGGTTGGAAGGCTTCTCTAACTTTGGCCACAGCTCCCAGGATCCGATATCCCGAGTCCAGGAAGCTCTTTTGCAGGCCTAAACAGAAGACACCTTCACTTTCAGCTGGGCAGGTCAATGCCCTGGAGCACTGTCTGTCCAGCAGAAGAACTGGTTCCATTAACAAAAGCTGGATGTGAAGCTGCCAGTAAGCATCTCAGGCAGTGACTGAAGGAGAAGGAAGGTGAGAACAAGGCAAATGTCCTGAGGTCTGCAAAGAGTTAGAAGAATCACAAACCAGCTCTTCCCTGTAGTGCTCAGGGAGCCTTCTTGCTGGTACAGTTAACAAGTACTTAGGCAATCCCTGGAAGTGAACATTGATCTTTGGGCTCAAGTGTTTCCCATCACCTCTTATGATGAGGTAGTCAAAACATAAACTCACCCAGCTTAGAATACTGAAGATGTCAGTTTCATGTTGGGCATATATTCCCTGTAGTACTTCTCATCTTTCTCCTACTCCTTTGTTCTACTTGGCTTTCAGCATGTTAATCCTATATTGAGCTGCCACTCCGGTGTCCTGTCTCCTGGAATCCAGGAATCCACTCAAACTATTAGAAACTCCAGTTGGAAAACTCAGTATGTCTTTAATGATGGTGGGTTAAGAATATTAGATTCTGCCTAGGCCAGGGATGAATAGGGCAGGCTCTCTTTCTACTCTCTCACAGTGAATGGGTTTTACTTACAGGTAAGACTAGAAACATGAAGGGCTCAGAAGAGGAGACAATTCACATGTTTCTAACAAGATAAATGTGTGATTCCAATTATGTATGATCTGCTTTAATAGCACTGAAGGAGCTCTTGTGGCGTAATGCCCTAAGCATTTGACTGCTAACCAGAAGGTTGGCGGTTCAAACCCACCAGGCACGCCATGGAAGGAGGACTTGGCAATCTACTTCTGTAAAGATTTACCACCTCGGAAACCCAAAGGGGGTCACTATGAGTTGGAAGCGACTCGATGACGGTGAGTTTTGGCTTTAATAGCACTGGAAACATGATCAAAATCCACCTAGAGATAACTCAGAATCTTCAGTGAGGAACCACAGCCCTCCAGGTTTGAGAGAAATAGTTTTACAGAAGCATTTTAAGAAAAGCATAAAAGGAGTTATGCTCATTAAATAACCTAGTTGTTGTTGTTATGTGCCGTCGAGTCAAACCCGACTCATAGCGACCCCTCCTTGGGTTTCCGAGGCAGTATCACTACGGAAGTAGGATTGCCCAACCCTCCTTCCGAGGAGTGGCTGGTGGGTTTGAACCGCCAGCCGTCTGGTTAGCAGGCAAGTGTCTTAGCCACTATGCTACCAGAGCTCCCAAATGGTTGGTAAATTGGTTATCCATCTTTTGAGAAATTTCCAAAAGAATGAATGAATCGGACCAGAACAAACATTAAGAAAGTGCAGATAAGTTGGTCCAGAGAAACTAATTTACAACAAGCTTGCCAATATTGCGTATTTGACAGAAAAAGGTTAATTTAGCATTCTCAAACTAAGCCTGTAGTTTCTGCTCCCCGACTTTGTATGTGGTGACTATGGGGTACACTCTTGTCAGCTTCCTAAGTCAGCCTCTCAGCTGAGGTGAACCATACCATGCATTGCTTACCCTCTCAGCTGAGGTGAACCATATCACGCATTGCTTACCAGGGTCGGAAATGTTTCCAGCCACAGCCTTTGCATCCATCACCATCGGGGAGATGGTTTTGCTCAATTCATCAGAGGCAGCTTTCACAGCCTCACGGAACTTGGGATCCTCAGAGTTCTCCACCTCCCTCTTTGCCACAAGCAGGATCCGATTGGCCCGACGAGCAATGCTGGTTGCCCCAGCGACCAGCATCTGAGGCTGAATGTTGGCCATGGCCACTTTACACTTGTCCAGGTCTTTTTTAATTGCTTCTTCAGAAGCATCCAACAGAGATTTGGTATCAATGGCTTCGTCCACCAGCCCTGACAGAAGAACAGAAATGGAACTCAGTTTCTATTTTAGAAAAGAGCCTCCAAAACCCTACTGTCCACTCAAGTTTCTCATGTGAAGGTACAACACCCAGAGTTCGTTCCTTCAGCTCAAAGCTCTTCCTATGCAATCAAAAGCTTCCAGGTGAATGTCACCTTTTAAAAAAATAAAGAATGTAGCTCAGGAGAAGCCATATGGACTCCCAGCATTATGCCAACAGTGGACATTGGCCTTCTTGTATCCACCACAGACTACCAGAAATGCAATGACATGAGGAAGAAACAAAGACTGCATCTGAAACTTTCACCACACTATCTGTTAATAACATTTTCTCCCTTCCCATCTTACTCCCAGCCATCTGTTGCTTGTTGGCAGCTCATGGCACCCAAGATGAGCTATGCAGAGGATTCCAATAACCCTAACAGCCTGTTCTTGTTTCTGTTACCTCTCTTCAGACATCTTGGGAGCTCCACTTTCATCTCTGGCTGCTAGGGACCCCTGTCACAGCAGGTTCTGCAGAGAAGCTGAACAGCCTACATTCCTCATTTCTTCCCTTCTCTCTTATCCCTCCCTCCACAGAGAATGAAGACAATTCAGAGATGCCGCTTCTACTGCACAGACACGGGCTTGTTTGTGGTTGGTTTCTTCTTTTTTTAAAACTACGTAGTTGATAAGTTGGAGGAAACTCTGAGACAGGTTGTATTAAATGGTAGCTATTGTGGTCCTTGAAATGTGAACCCACTGAAAATGACAGGGACACTTTCTGTATCCACAAACACTGCCTCCCAGCCTCTGAAACCAAACTCTGGCTCAGACTGGGCAAAGACACTATTCAAAGAGAAGATAGGAGCTGTAACAATAAACATCACACTGGGAGGGTGGCATGAAAATAAAAGAGACTCAAAGAGTCTCTCTTTGGACAAAGTGGCAGCACTTGAATGAGAAGCCGCCACTGCTCAGCAGCCTTAATCAGGGCCAAGTACACCTCCAAGCACATGACCATCGCTTCCATCCAATTACAGCTGAGTAACATAAGTGGAACAGTGTGAATTTCTTGGAACTCATTCCTTGTGGATTAGAGAACAAGAAGTTTGCATAAAACTCTGTACCTGTCATTTTTTCAACATTATCAATCCACTGGTTCTTCATAGTCTCAAAATGTTCATAAGCAGCTTGATTCCCAGGATTCCTAAGTAAGATGCGAGCAGCCGAGACAACCTGGCAACAACAAAACAATCTTTAACACCAGAGCACCCACCTTCAGGAAAGCTTTCTCCTTCTTTACCGACAGATGGTACTAGAGAGCCAAAAATCATTTTGCACAGGCAAGTCTCTGTTCAGGCTGAACTTGCAACAGCCTTGACAAACATCTTAGATCTGGGCTTATAAACGGCTCCCCACAATGGTCAGATTTTAAAAAGGTAATAAAGTGACAAAGTAAATAGTTATTCACTTTATACTTTAGCAAAACTGACGGTATTTTAAAAACTCCCAGTGTCAACTCTTCCACCATGCAGAAAGATACAAAAATTAATCAAACTGATCTGTGAATAACATTAATAAAAATACCTGTCTAGAGTTAACAAAGTACTGACAACAGCAGACAACAACCTGAGATTGAGACACATGATAACATCACCCAGAAATCAACCCAGAGAGAAGTATCAAAAATAAAAAACCTACAAGACTGGAGTTAACAAAAAAGTGCTTTCATATCCATAACTTAACTGAATCCTCTCAACAGCCTTATGAGAGAGAGAGGACAGGTATAGCTCCTCTTTACAGATGCAAAGATAGAGACTCAAAATTTAAGTCTCTTGCTCCAAAACTCCAACTAGTTTGCAACAGCAGTTGGGAAAGGAACTAACATTTATTGAGTATCTAGTAAATTACAGGTGCAGTGTGCACTACACACTGCCTTCTTAATCCTCACAACAATCCATTAGGGAGGAATTACTTCCACTTTACAGATAAGGAAACTAAGCCTCAAGGTCACAGAGGATTTACACCAAGATCTGTCTCCAAAGCCCATGCTCTTCCGCTGCTGGTATCTTGAGTATAGTTTTCTGTGTTAAGAACCTGAGTTTTATATTGGAATCCCATGTAAGAGAGGAATCATTGTTCATATTTTATGAAAGTTTTCAAAGAAAGTTGGACATGTGTAACAGTGCAAGGGAATTTAACTTGTTAACATGCCACAATGGCAAAAAGTTGAAAAATTAAGGATGTGCTTATTTTCCTTTAATCTTCCCAAGTTCCTACCTAAGCCAGTATCATAGATTTGTAAAGTCTAACACAGTTTATAAGGTATAATCTTACTGCCGTTGAGTCGAATCTGACTCACAGTGACCTCTCCTTGGTTTCCGAGGTGGGGAGCTCTGAAAGTGTAGTGCCTAAAGCACTTGACTGCTAACCAGAAATATGGCAGTTCAAACCCACCAGCCACTCCTCGGAAGGAAGGCTGGGCAATTTACTTCTGTAGTGATATTGCCTTGGAAACCCAAGGAGGGGTTGCTATGAGTCGGGTCCAACTCGACGGCACATAACAACAATAACAAAGATTGCCCAACCTTCCTTCTGAGGAGTGGCTGGTGGGTTTGAACTGCCAGCCTTCTAGTTAGCAGTCAAATGCCTTAGACACTATGCTACCAGAGCTCCTATAATGTATAATAGGTGCTCAATAAATACCTGCTGAATAAATGAATGAAAAAGTAAATAATGAATTTTCTATCATTTGAATGGATAAAAACATCACACTAAATGATACTGACCTGGTATTTTTAAGACCACCTATCACCTATCACAAAGAGCTCTGGCAGTACAGTGCTTAAGGCATGTAGTTGCTAATCAAAAGGTCAGTGGCTTGAACCCACCAGCCGCTCTGTGGAAGAAATGTGAAGAAGTCTGCTTCTGTACAGATGTATAACCTCGGAAACCCAAAGGGGGTTGGTATGAATTGGAATTGACTCTACGATAATGAGTTTTATCACCTATCAGAACCTTCCAATAAACTGTCTTTTGTTTTCAATCATCCAGCATATTTTTCACAGCATACTAATTGTATCTTAGTGATAAAATTAAGTACAAAAAAGAACCTAAGTTTTAGACACATCTGAATTTAAAAAAATAAAAATGGGGAACGCTATAAGCTCTAAAACAAAATAAACTATCCTTTCAGGATTATCCAAATATTTTCCTAATTATGTGTATATGTGTATGGGCAGGTGTTTTGCTATTTTTTTTCTATTTTCAAAAGTAATAGTCACTGTAAAAAAATTTTAACAATACAAAAATACATAAAGTAAAAAGTCCCCTGTAAACCTAACCTGAGAGAAGACTGAGTTTAACATTATGGATATGTGCAGTCTATTTAATGGTATTTCACAGCAAATGTTCAAAGACACACACACACACACACACAATCTTGTAATTAGCTTTTTTTTTTTCAACTAAATAATACATGGTTGGTAAATAAATGAAGAGTGAGCAAAAACAAACCTGGGGTGTGAGTTCTCGTGCCGTTTTCACTGATGCCTGGATGCCTTCCACTGTGGATTTATTAGCCGTTCCAACAGCAGCCGCCTTCTCTGCAGTGGCACCAAGCCTTCCTGAATGGTTTTCAAAGTTAGCTGCCCTCTCATCAAATACCTTGAGGAAAAACAAAGACATCAAGAAAATGTATTTCAATAAAATGGCCAGGCAGCCTAAGTAAAGATCTCTCTGTTAAGCTGAGGCAGCAACTGCTCAAGCAAAGACTTCAGAGATGCTATCAAACCCCAGTTAATAAGGTAACAGTCAAATGCCAAGTCTTGGCTTTGATGTATCTCCAGAGGTTTGGCCATAGACATGATGTGTATACACATACACACAATGTACACATGTGTATGCACACATATACAAACCCTTGGATTTCAGTGCAACTAGTGCTTACTAAATGTTAGCAGAACACATAGCACTGTGTACTCTGTAACAAGGAATTCACAGAATGTGAAGACTAAATAATCCCCATTCCCTAAAAGCTTATCATCTAGTTTAAAGAGAACGAACAAACCCAGTCCAAGCTCTATTGTAAGAGCCTGGGTGCATTAAAAGCCAAGAAGATCCATAAAGAATCCTAAACTGAGCTCGAGCATCCCTAGGGCAGCATCCCTACTAGATCCTATTAGCATTAGTGATACAAAAAACTCTGGGGAAAATGATAGCTGGTGCTTACACTCAGGCCTGACATAAAAGCAAGGCTAAAACAAAACCCACTGCCATCAAGTTAATTCCAACACTTAGCAACCCTATAGGACAAAGTAGAACTGCCCCATGGAGTTTCTAAGGCTATAAATCTTTACAGATGCATACTGCTTCATCTTTTTCCCTTAGAGTGGCTGGTGGGTTTGAATTGCCAATCTTCTGGTTAGCAGCCGAATGCATAAACCACTATGCCACCACAGCTCCTTAAAACCAAGGATGGCTGACTTATTAACCCAAAATGTAAAACCATCTACTGAATTGTTCATTCAGCTCTCAAATGGTGAGAGTTAACTATTCCTTCAACACTGACATTATGCAAGGTTGCATACTGTGAAGGGGCTATTTATTTAGCACAGTTAAAATGACAAAAGCTCTTCTGTCATTTGTTTGGATAACATTATTAGAAATGATGATTGAAAAAGCAAGGTATATCGGACATTGGGTCAGAATTACACTACATAGAGTGTGTTGAACTGTCTGATAGAATCCATACTCTTCTCTGCCTCCTTCCGAGAGTCTACCTGCCTTTACTTAGGGGCCAATTCTGGCTCTAGGCAGTCTTTAAAGATCACCTGCTTTGGAGGGGCTCTTGTGTCTATCCACTCAAACAAGTCTCTTCCTCACCATGGCCTCTTGTTTGGATTCAGCTACCTGGGTTCTTGCTGTTTAATGCTTAGAATCTCTGCCTTGATTCCTGATCTAGTCCCCTTCTCCTGGCTTCAGTCCTTGTTTCTTACCTTAGCTGGTCTCACATTCTGAACCTATAAGGCATTTGTCTATCATGTCTGACCATCTAGATCCCAGGTCATGTCTGCTGTTCCCTCTGATTTAACTGACTGCTTAGCTTGCTTTTCTTGTCACTCAGTCAAAATTTATTGAGCACCTACTATGTGCCAAACTCTGGCACAGTTGCTAAGGATATAAATATGAATAAGGTATAATCTCTGCATCTCAAGGAGCTCAGAGCCTAATGGGGCAGGGAAAATGCTTATAAACATATTTATAACATAGTGTCTGAGTGCAATAATAGAGGAAAACACTGACATTGAGGAGAAAAGGAAAGCCACTTAACCTATCCACAAGCAAAGGATAATAAGAAAAATAAGAATTAGTCAATAAAGAAGGAGGGAAAGAGAATTAGGCAGAGAAACAGAGAAAAACAAAGACATGGACAGGAGAAAGGACAGAATATGCAGAAAACTGTAAACAATAAGGTATTACCAGGACATGAACAAAGAAGCAGGAGTTTATGGAGAAACAGGTATAGAAAGGGTATTAGAAACCAGATCACAGAGCTTTGGCTATGTCCTTTGTGAAAAGAAGACCCACTAAAGGGTTTAAGCAGAATGGCAGAGTCAGATTTGTATTTTTATTTTATTGGTGGCCTAGTGACAGATTTAAGGAGGACCAGAAAGGCATCAGGGGACAATGACCTAAACTAGAGCTATGGTAGCAGGGATGGAAAATGGAAGGGATTTGAGAAATATTTGGGAGATCAAATTAGCAGGAACTTGGTTACTTATAAAGAAGCTCTGGTAGCACAGTGACTAAGGCATCTGACTTCTAACCAAAAGGTTGGTGGTTCAAACACATCAGCCAATCCATGGAAGCAAGACTGGGCAATCTACTTCTGTAAAGATTTATCACCTCAGAAACCCAATGGGGGTCACTATGAGTCGAAATCAACTAAATGCCAATGAGTTTGGTTTGCTTTGGTTTTGGTTACTTACTGGTGTGGGAAAAGTGAAGATAAGGGAAAAGTCAGTGGTAACTCCCAAATTTCTAAGAGAGAATTGGAGAAGGATAAAACATGCCAAAGTACCTATGAAGCATTTAAGTGGAGGTGACCAGCAGACCGGGATCTCCTTGTCTAAAACTTGGATCTACAAGTCTGAAAAAACAGCAAATCATTCCCAGTAATCTACACTAGAGAAAGAAAATGGAGGTTACTAGCAAATAACACAGATCTCCAGTCACCAGTTCTGCATTGTCTTTTGTGCCTGACTCAACAAGTATTCCCAAACCTCTTCTCCTTTGTTGCCAGTGCTACAGAGGGTAGAAAACCAAATGCTTGCTTTCCTAAATTCCTTTGTAGCTAAGGGTGGCCAGGTGACAGGTTTGCAGAATATAAGACATTCATTAGCAGAGGTTCCAGACAATGGGACATAAGGACAGGATTTCTGGAAAAGCCTTCACTTTCACTCATTCAGCACATATTTAATGTGCACCAACCTTATACCAGACTTTGTTCTGGGGACTGTAATAAAGTGATGACAAAACAAAGTCCCTGCCTGCATGGAGCTTTCATTGTAAGGTGAGGGAGGTGGACAGACAACAGCAAAAATAAACAGCAAAGATATTGTATGTCAAATGCTGATAAATGCTAAGAAGAAAAGCAGGATATGGAGAGTACAGAGTGCCTGGAGTTAGGGTGGGTTGCTATTTTATATAAGATGATCACTGTAAAGTGACATTTGAGAGAAAGTAAGTTGTACATAGAATTGTCTGTAGAAAGACCACAAAGAAGAGCAAGTACAAAGGCTGTTAGACCTTTGTACCTGTTAGCAAGTACAAAGTATGTTATAACATACTCAACACGACAAGGAATACTAGGAACACAACATGCGCAGCCCAGTGTAGAGGGGCATGAGGGAGATGTATGAGGTCAGGAAGTAGATGAGGGATCAGATTGCGAAGGGCCTTGTTCAGTGATGTGCTGAAGCCAGCTTGTTCCAAATCATATCAGCTTACAAGAGCCAAATGGGCCCATCTTTTCCCAATTTTCTTTTACTGACTTCAAGGTGAAATAGTCATGGTAGAAGTATTTACATCATGGAAATCAACAAACATTATATAGTGGGCCCTTTTTTTCTTTCCTCTCCCTCGAGAGCTGGTTTTCTGGCACATCACTGGCCTTACTGATCATTGTAAGGACTCAGCTTTACTCTGAAATGGAGTCAGTGGAAAGGTTTGAGTAGGGGGATGATTTCAAATGACATAAAAGGATCACCCTGACTTCTATGTTGAGAACAAAGTGCCCTAATAAAAGAGACAGCTTCACTAGAGCACCTCATCCCTCACACACTCCTGCCTTGAACATGATGCCTAGGCTGCAACAACCATCTCACAACCCTAAAAAAAAGAGAGACACCAAATCATCGAGATGTCAGCCCTAATGCTCTTATGCGCTAAACCAATGCCAACAATATCTACCTCTCAGATTCTTGTTATGTGATGAAAATAAGCCCCTACTTGTTTATTTTGATCTTATGATCAGATTTTCTATTGCTTGCATTTAAAGACATTCTTGAACTGATGCACTTGGTCCCTAAAGGAAGAGATGGCAGGGCCTTCTCCTTCCACCCTTCACCCACAATCTCCCAACAACTTGCCCCTGAAGTATATCATAATCACATTTCACCTTTCTATGTATAAGTAAGTAAATATATGAAAATATAAATATCTGGTGGTAGAGTGGATAAGATACTGGGTGGCTAACCAGAAGATTGACAGTTCAAAAACCCACCAGCTGCTCCACAGGAAGAAGATGAGGCAATTTACATCCATAAAGATTTACAGCCTTGGAAATCCAATGGGGCTCACCATGAATCAGAATCAACTCGATGATAGTGGGGAGATATATATATAATTGACATATTATATTAGGCAAATCTACTGCAAAAGACCTCTGTGGGTGTTAAAAACCAAAGATACCACTTTGATGCCTAAGGTGCACCTGACCCAAGCCCTGGTATTTTCAATAGCCTCATATGCATGTAAAACCTGGACAATGAAAATGGAAGGCCAAAGAAAAAATCATTGTATTTCAATTTTCAAATTGTGGTGTTGGTGAAGAATAATGGAAATACCATGGACTGCCAGAAAAATGAACAAATTTGTCTTGGCGGAAGCAGCCAGAATGCACCTTAGAAGAAAGGATGGTGAGACTCTGGCTCAATGACATTAGATATGTCATCAGTAGGGACAAATTGCTGAAGAAAGACATCATGCTTGGTAAAGTAGAGGGTCAGTGAAAAAATGAGAGACCCTCAACAAGTTAGACTGACATAGTGGCTGACAGTGGGCTCAAAACATAATAATTAATTGTGAGGATGATGCAGGACCAGGCAACTTTTCATTCTGTTATACATAGGGTCACTATAAGTTGAAGCCAACGTGATGGCCCCAAACAACTAACAGTATACAACCACGCAACAGAAGAAATGGAAAACCTCAAATACCCACCTCTTCTCTATTAGGTGCATCAGGAGGGGCAGTAGCTGCCACTGCCAACAGCTTGATGGGAGTTGTGGTATCACTGAAAATATCCGAAACCTCCTGAGTCATGGCCTCCTGCATCCGGGCTTTCAGATCCTTAAATACATCGTTTACAAATGAAAATTTCCAGAAATATCTAACAAGCATAGCTGCCGATGTTCTCACTTCACTGATAAACTCCTTCATTCATTTATTTAATCTTTCCTTCAATAAATATGCATGCATAACAAATATGTGCAGACGACCAACCTAGTATAGCCAGGCTGAAGATATGAATCCTGCCCTCTAAGAGATTTGTGTCTACTAGGAGGGGTAACATGTGATGTACATTTTCCTAGAGACTGTACTGCCCAATGGAAGAACTTACTTTCTATTTTAGGGGTCTCTATGGGGTTGAACCCAAATCGGCCCTAAGACTAGAGATCTCCACCTTTCTCAAAGCTGGAAAAGCTTGATAAAGATCAATGGACTTGTGAGGAGGGTTTGGTAGATACAGTACCAAATTTCTAAGCATTTTATTATCTTAAGATTAAAGAAATCAATAGGATTTTCTCGGGATCCCTGCTTTCTTAATTAAGCTTCTAGAAAACTTGTTAAAGAATGTAAGTGTCCATTTCTTAACATGGGTCGACACGAGAGGATTCACAAAGAAGCTCTTTCTGACAATCAGTCTAATTGAAGTTTTCTGGATTTACACAATGAAGTCTCCATCACCCTCAAGATAATGGCATGCACTGGCTGCTGACAACTGGGATGATTGTAGGTGTTACATAGGCAAAATATTTTTATCCCAATAATATGCTTATCTTAATGAATATTAGAAAAATATAACGATTTCATCAAGTCAGTAATTTCAAAACTTTCTTTAGATACATTGTTTCAGTGTTTTTTTTTTAAAGAGTACATTTTAAGAAAAAAATAGAGATGAAATAAAAGTACAGGCAATATGTGAATAGAGCAAAACTCATGAAGGAAGTCTTGATTGACTGAAATTTGAGAACTGTACACTTTAAAAAATTCTCTCTCCCTCCCTAGGATTTCAATAATAGTAACATTATAAACTTATTAACATTTGTTCCTGAGTTCTACCTTTAAGGAGTCTTGGAGCTGAGATGCAAGTGCTCTCGCCTGAGGACTCTCCCCTTCCCCTCTGGCAGCAAGGTCAGCCAGCTGGGCCGTCAGCTGGTCTACTCGGTCACACTTTGCAAGAAGATCTTGGCGATAAGGCCCCATCATGACATTTGCTAGACGATGCCCTTCGGCCACAAGCCCCCGGATGGCAGCCTGACCTGGACCAAGGGGAAAATATTAAAACTCACATAGACTCAAATAGAAGGCAACTGCTGTGCCATTCTGGTAAGTATCTTTAAATAAGTTAATAATAACAACATTGAGTGATTTTTTTTTTCCCATAATGCATGAATTTTAAAAAGCACACATGGTTTAAAATCATGAAAAGTATGCATCAGGGTTATATCTTTTCACCATACTTATTCAATCTATATGCAAACAAATAATCCAAAAAGCTAGACTACATGAAGAAGAATGCATCAGGATTGGAGGAAGACTCATTAACAACCTGAGATATACAGGTGACAAAACCTTGCTTGCTGGAAGTGAAGAAGACTTGAAGCATGTACTGATGAAGATCAAAGACTACATCAGTATGAATTTCACCTCAGAATGAAGAAAACAAAAATCCTCACAACTGGAATAAGAAGCATCATGATAAATGGAGAAAAGGTTAAAGTTGTCAAGGATTGCATTTTACTTGGACCCACAATGAACACCCAGGGAAGCAGCAGTCAAGAAAGAAAACGAAACAGAAGACCAATGTTTGCACAGAGAGGTAGCTCAGGGGGCAGGAATGCACAGGAAGGAAGGACACAGGGAAGAGGTAACAACAAGGAGGATGTGGGGAAAGTGCTATTACATTGTAGGGAAGTGCAGTCAATGTGACAAAAAAAATGTGTATGAACTACTGGAAAATGAATTTGCTCTGTAACCTTTCAGCCAAATCACAGTAAAAATTTAAAAAGAAGGAAAGAAAACAATATATTGCATTTGGCAAATCTGCTACAAAAGACCTCTTTAGAGTGTTAAAAAGCAAAGGTGTCACCTTGAAGACTAAGGTGCACCTGACCCAAGCCATGGTATTTTCAATCACCTCACATACATGTGAGTGCTGGACAATGAATAAGGAAGACCAAAGAAGAATTCATGCATCTGAATTATGGTGTTGGTGAAGAATATTAAATACATCATGGACTGCCAGAAGACCAAACAAATCTACCACAGAAGACATACAGCCAGAATGTTCCTTCTAAGTGAGGATTATAAGACTTCATCCTGCTTACTTTGGACATATTATCACAAATGACCAGTCCCTGGAGGAGGTCATCATGCTCGGTAAAGTAGAGGATAAAGAAAAAAGAGGAAGACCCTGAACGAGATGGACTGACACAGTGGCTACAATGGACTCAAGCACTGCAACAACTGTGAGGAAGGTGCAGGACTGGGCAGTGTTTTGCTCTGTTGTGCACAGAGTTGCTGTGAGTTGGAATTGACTCAACAGCCTTAACTGTTGTTGTTACAACAATGACAGCAAAAATTGGGAGAATAAAGAAAAGTATACATAAACTGCCCATAATCCCCTCACTTAAAAACCAAACCAAACTCACTGCCATCAAGTCGGATCCTACTCAGAAATCCCTCCTTGGGTTTCCAAAGCAGTATCACTACAGAAGTAGATTGACCAACCCTCCTTTTGAGGAGTGGCTGGTGGGATTGAACCACCAGCCTTCTGGTTAGCAGTCAAATGCCTTTGGCACTATTAGAACATTTCCTTCCACTCTGTTTTATGCACTTATCCACTGCCACCACCAGCTGTCAGGTCAATTCCAATTCATGGAGACCCCATGTGTTTCAGAATAGAACTGCACTCCACAGGGTTTTCCTGGCTGTGACTGCAGTGTGGTAAATTACTTAGTGTGGCTTTTCTACCCATAAGTCTTTGTAAACTCCAAGGTGGGATTTGCTGTGAGCAACTGAGGAGCTCCTGATTGCTAAAGTTGTCCACCTGGAGTATTTCTGTTGGGAGTGACACAAAACAATGTTCTGGGAGGTTCCCACTATCTCTTAGGTGCTTAGAGTTCTGATGCTATGATTGGCTAGTTTGGCCACTCTGTCAGGCTCAAAAGGAGGCCTCCTAGAGGCAGAACTCTCTCTGACTGCTGGTTGAGGAAGACGTGCTGCTGAAAGAGACACGTGCTGCTGGGAAAGAGACTCAAGAGACATGCATTGCTGAGTAAGACACCGAGGGACATGCACTGCTGGGGGAGAGACTGAGAGACTTGACTGAGACGGTGGGCTGGGAGGGAGACAGCGTTTTTCCCGAACTTGAATTGTAGCCTGGTGCTTCCCTAATAAACCCCATAATCTGTGAGTTCTGTGTGGCCACTGCAGCGAATTATCGAATCCAGGAGAGAGGTGGTGGGTGCTTTGGGAGGAACAGTTGGAAAAAGGGCTGGAGGGAGGCAGCATGTCTGGCCTCACAGGAATAGGCCTTGGGCTTCTGATGGTGATTCTGCCTTCCTCTTGTGGGGTTCTAGGAGGTCAGAATATGTGGCCTCCTTGCCCTTTTGGCAGTGACCTTTCAGAAATAGATCGCCAGGCCTTTCGTCCAAGCTGCCTCTGACTGGGTTCAAACTGCCAACCTTTCAACAGTATCTGAGTCCTTCACCATCTGCATCATCCAGGAACTGTAATGCATCTATACACACATCCAGTTCTTTTTTACAAAATTTGGATAATATATGTTAACTTTTTTATTTAAAATGAGCATTTTTTCACATCATTAAGTATTCTTCAAAAATTATTACCTAAAATACATAATATTTTATCAGTTGGTCAATAATTAAATGGTCAATATTTGACCATTTACCTATTATTAAACATGTATCCTGTTTATACACATTAGTATATCTAAGTCCTTAGAAACATCTCTAATTGTCTCTTAGAATAAATTCCTAGAAGTTAAATCACTGAATCTATGAGTAGGAACTTTTGTTAAAGCTCTTGAAATATAATGCCAAATTGCCATTCAGAAAGTTTACACCAATATATTCCCCCACTAGCAAATTATATGTCTGCCCAATTCCCTTACCAACACTGGCTATTTTAAAAATTTATTTTTTATCCAACAAATACAGCATATGGAGTATATTGTTCAGCTTTAGCAGGCTTGCCATCATAATATAAAGCCTTTTTTGTGTTCACTATTATTTTTTTTTATTGTGATTTGGGTGAAAGTATACAGCAAATTGGTTTTCCATTCAACAATTCATACATGTTTTGTTTTGTGACAATGATTGTAGGCATTCAATGAATGGCATAAATTCTTACAGGTCCATTCCTAAAGTATTCTCAAAAACAAAATTTCAAGTTATCAGTTCTACAACTCCATAAGTAACTATGTGATGCAGGAAACCTCACAATGGAGAATATACTGGGAAGTTAGGTGTCTTCTACTTGTTTTCAAAAATTATATTTAACTGAGCACTTTGCAAGGACTGCAATAACTGAAATATGCAATAGAGTCACCAAAGTCAGAATTTACTAGAAGGCAACTTGTTTTTTGGTTACAATAGAGTAGAAGCATGTATAGGACTAGAAAACAGTTCAATTTCAACATGAGGATTTTCCTATTTATTCATGTAAAGTTATCTATTTATTCTATTTCTTGATTAAATCACAGGAACCTTGCATCTGGCAATGCATTCACAATGTAAAGTGACTTACTGGCCAGAGGCTAAAGAAACCCTTCAGCACCTAATTATAAATCACACAGGCACCCAATGAATAACTTATTCTCACTGAGACCAGTTTAATGAAGGCTGAGTGTACTCATGACCTTACCTACTCCCCGGTCATCCACTGTGGGATTATCAATCCATCGCTGGGCTTGCTCAATCTTGCCCTCAAGGTGGACAGCTGCTTTGGTGGGTCTGCTGTTGGCCACAGCCCTATTGGTTTTGGTCTGCAGGTTCTGCAGAGCTGTGGCCACCTGTTTGGCCAGTGCCCGGGCCTCTGGAGAATCTCCCTTTCCCCTACAGAGAAAAAAGAAAGTCATCTTGTCACATACAGAGACTATTTACATTGAAATGAATTAATTGTTTATAAAAAGCAATCATTACTAACATAGTTTGAAAGGTTTATCTGGACCTTGAATAAGAAATTAGTTATTTAAATTCAGATTGTTTCATCCAAGTTAAGACATTCTCTGAGTTTGGGGCAGTCGAGGGCACTAGGTCAGCTGACTCTCTCAGTCTGCCATCTCTGAAAAACACTAGTTCCCATAGCCCCTACTGTAGGTGGGGCCAGGCAGCCATGTTTGCTGTTGTAGTAGTAGTTGGAATAGTTACAGTAGAACAGTAGTAGTACTGTCTTTTGAGTCCTAACTCTGTCAGGTACTGTTATAAGCACTTCTCTTGTATTAACTCATTTAATACTCAAAACCACTTCTTGTATGAACTCATTTAATCCTCACAACAATCCTATGAGGTAGATAGCAATATCAGTCCTGTTATTAAAAAACCAACACTGAGGCACAAAGAGGCTGACTAATTTGCCCAAGATTCAATCACTTACTTTGGTGGAGCCAGGACTCAAATCCAGGCACTATAACTTTGGAGTCCTCACCTTTAGCTACTGTATGTACTGTCTTATGTTGTTATAACATAATCACCAATCCTTGCCACAATTGATTAGACTTAAAGACAACATAACCACAGTCAGGCAAGGCACTCACTTAGAGTCTGGTGAGTCTCAAAGTTCGATGTGGATAAAAACCACCTGAAAGCTTATTTTTAAATGCAGATTATTGAACCTACCATCAAAAGAGATTCTGATTCAGTCTGTCTGGGGTGGGATACAGAAGTCTGCATTTTTAACAACCTTCCCAGGTGATTCTGAGGTAGGTAATCCTTGGTCCATACTTCAAAATCACTGCATAGCCAAACAGTGGTAGAATAAAACTGGCAATCAGATTAAGTATAGGCCAGATGAAGAAGGCCAAAAATAATAAAATAAATAAAGTCAACACACAGAGAGAAATAGACCTGACACAACAGCTAAGAGATAGCTGAAGAGGCTTCCAATTGCCACAAGGCCAGGTCACACTTCAAGCTGTTGGGTTCCATTGTTGTTGTTATGTGCCGTCGAGTTGGGCCCGACTCATAGCAATTAGATGCCTAAATATCTTCCAATAACCCCCTACTTTTTACTTAAGCTAGTTCCTTACAACCAAAAAAAAAAAAAACACCTCAAGAAGAACACAAAACACAGAAATAAAAAGACAACCACAATTATATCACAAAGGGGAGACAGCGGCCCCAAAATCTTCATTCCAAAGACTTCAGATTCTAACCATCATGAGCATACAAAGAGTCTGACTCATTTTATATCTCAACCCCATTCAGTCATAGAAAAGCAATCTTCAGACTAATTTCTTCTGTCTCACTGTAAAGATGAAATTACCAGCTAATCTGCCAAAAGTGACTAAGAACTTCTTTGTAACTCTAAATCTCTATAACCTTCTTCATTATAAAGTTGGATAAAGAGAGTTTTCACACTGATCATGGCTTGCTGCCAGGATGTTATGTGTATGTATGCCTATGTGTGTATATATGTATACATTATAGAAATAAGCAGTAACAGTGTTGAGTGACCACCCAGGAAGATGTGTTTTTATTACTATTCTCATTTATTATCTCTTCATCGTTAAGAAACACTTAATGAGGCTTACTATGTATATGAACTAGAGTTAGGTCCTGAGAATATAGCCTCTGTGCCTTGTTATTTTAAACCTTTCACGCCCCAATTATTTTCTACTTTAAAATTGTTGATACCATGTGTTTTCATTAATGAAAGGCATGCTGAAACAAGGAGCATTTCTGAAATTTTGTTATGAAATACAGATTTTGATACACATTATATGGAACACATATGTTTGTCTGGACTCAGGGCAGTAAGAGTAGTAGGAAACATGTTCCTCTAGATTCTGCACTACCTTCTGGATTCCTTGACTGCTGTCAAGTTGGTTCTAACTTACAATGATCCTATGTACAACAGAACAAAATACTGCCTGGTCCCTTCACCCTCCTCACAGTCATTGCCAAGCATAAGCCCATTCCTGAAGCCACTGTGTCAATCTATCTCGTTGAGGGTCTTCCCCTTTTTTGCTGACCCTTTACTTTACCAAGCATGATGATATCCTTCTCTGGGGACTGGTATTTTCCAAAAACACATGAAAAATGACCTATGGCCATTCTTCCTTCTAAGGAGCGTTCAGGCTCTACCTCCTCCAAGACAGAGTTGTTCATTCTTCTAGCAGTTCAATACTCATCACCAATACCACAACTCAAATGCATCAATCCTTCTGCAGTTTTTTCATTCATTGTCCAGCTCACATATGTATATGAAGCTATTGAAAATATCATAGCTTGGGTCAGACATACTTTAGTCTTCAAAGTGACGTCTTTGCTCTTCAACTCTTTAAAGAGGTCTTTTCCAGCACATCTGCCCAATGCAATACATTATTTGATTTCTTCACTGCTGCTTCCAGAGGCATTGATTGTGAATCCAAGTAAAATGAAATCCTTGACAACTTCAATATTTTTGCTGTTTATCATAATGTTGCTTACTGGTTCAGTTGTGAGGATTTTTGTTTTCTTTATGTTGAGATACAATCTATATAGAAGGCTGTAGTCTCTGATCTTCATCAGTAAGTGCTTCAAATCCTCTTCATTTTCAGCAAGCAAGGTTGTTGTCATCTCCATATCACAAGCTGTTAATGAATCTTCCTCCAATCCTGATGCCATGTTCTTCCTCATATAATCCAGTTTCTCGGATTATTTGCTCAACATACAGATAGAATAAGTATGGTGAAAGGATACAACTCTGACACACACATTTCCTGATTTTAAACCATGCAGTATCCCCTTATTCTGTTTGAATGACTTCTTCTTAGGTATAGGTTCCTTATGAGCACAATTTAGTGTTTTTGGAATTCCCATGCTTTACAATGTTATCCATAATTTTTTATGATCCACATAGTCTAATGCCTTTGCATAGACAATATAACACAGGTAAACATCTTTCTGAATGTCCTCTTCTGAATCTGGCTTAAATTTCTGGCAATTCCCGGTCAATATACTGCTGTAGCCATTTTTTAATTATCTTCAGCAAAATTTTACTTATGTATATATTAATGGTATTGTTTGATAATTTCCACATTCCTTGGGATCACCTTCCTTTGAAATGGCACAAACATGGATATCTTCCAGGTGGTTGGCCAGGAAGCTGTCTTCAAATTTCTTGGCATAAATGAGTGAACGCCTCTAGCACTGCAACATTTGCTGAAACATCCCAATGGGTATTCTGTCACTTCCTGGATGCCTTGTTTTTCACCAATTCCTTCAATGCAGCTTGGACTTCTTCCTTCAATACCCTGGGTTCTTGATCAAATGCTACCTTCTGAAATAGTTTAATGTCAACAAATTCTTTTTGGTAGTGACTATGTATATTCCTTTCATCTTCTTTTGGTGCTTCCTGAATTGTTTTAAAATTTACCCATAGAATTCTTCAGCATTGCAACTCAAGGCTTGAATTTTTTCTTTAGTTCTTTCAGCTTGAGAAATGCTGAGCATGTTCTTCCCTTCTGATTTTCTAACTCCAGGTTTTTGCACATTTTCTTCCATTTCCTTTAGCTATTCTCTGTTCAAGAGCAAGTTTCAAAGTCTCTTCTGATTCTTTTCTTTCTTTCCTGACTTTCTAATGACCTTTCTTCTTTCTTCCTATATGATGTCCTTGATATCATACCACAACTTATCTGGTCTTCTCAGTCACTGGTGTCCAATGCATCAAATCTATTCTTCAGATGGTCTCTAAATTCAGGTGGGATGTACCCAGGGTCGTCTTTTACCTCTCATGGACTTGTTTTAATTTTCTTCAGCTTCTTAAACTTACATATGAGCAACTGATGGTCTATTCCATAGTCAGCCCTCGGCCGCCTTCTGATTGAGGATATTGAGTTTCTTCATCACCTCTTTCCACAGACATAGTTGATTTGATTCCTGTGTATTCCATCTCACAAGATCCACATATATAGTCATTGTTTATGTTTTTGAAAAAAGGTGTTTGTAATGAATAAGTCATTGGTCTTGCAAAATACTCTCATGAGAGCTCCAATCTTTTGACAGGTGCATACAATTTAAGGCACCTGAAAATGCAGTATCTGAGCAAACACATAATCATCACAAGAAAGGCAACTTCCAAATAATGCACAGTAACCCAGAAATATACTTAGAAGATTTACCTCCCAGTAAAAAGCCGAAAGAGATAAAATAAAACTTTTGCAAAATCACACCTCCAATATGCATCATCTCATACAACACCCTGTAAAAACAGTAATTTGCAGCACACACCTATTTATTTCATTTCAAACAGTCACACAGGTCTCTCCTCCAGACAGCTGTGTACACCATCACTGAGAAATAAGCTGCCCAATAAACCCCAAAGGAGAAAAATCTAAATGGGTGCTATATGTCCCACAGGTCATGAAATGATTAAAATCTAAATAGACTCTAAACCAACATATTAATGGATTGATATTAATTAAAATAGTCAGTTATGTAGACAAGTATATTTTTAAATTCTTAAATTATATCTTTTTCTCCACTTAAATAATTTAAGATTTGGGGCATAAAGCCCAAATGACTGAGTTTGGTATATGATCAAATTTGAGATGTTCCCTAAATTGATCTCAATCACCACAATCTCTTCCTTAAAATATATCTACTCTGCTCACATCAAATCATATTCCTAGGCAAGAGTTGGCTTTCTAGCCAACACTGCCCTTTCAGTCAAAAGACTTGAAAGAAATCTAAAGTACCTTTCACTGGAAAATGGCTAGCCATTCCCTATGGAAGAACAGGAAATGAAACGTGCAAGTTAATCCAAATGTAGTATCTCACAAGACACTTGACTGTGTTTATCCCTGGAGAATGGGATTGGAAGATGGGGTAGGAAAGAGAACAACTTTTACTTTTTATCTTATACCCTTTCCTTAGGTGTGATTTTTTTTTTCTTCTTCTTCTTCCATTAACATTATTACAGTTTTTCTTAAAAGGAAAAAACATCTATGAAAAGAAGAAAGCAATATCTTTTTGCCAAGTAACCAAAGTGGGTGCCATGAAAGTCTTAGAAGACAAGGCTGTGGTGAGGAGGTTGTTACAGGAATAATCAACTAAAAAATGTAATTTCATGATCTCTTATATTTGCTACTTAAGGAACAACATAGCTGGGAAGGGAGATAAAGTGCCATCGTAAACTCACCTGACACACATACCTACACACACACACTCCTGTCTTATCACAACTAGCCACAAAATTTATTTTTCTCATCTGTCTGAGGAACACAGATATGACACAAACAAGATGTGTCAGGAAAAGTCCTAGCTTAGTCCTTTTTTCCCCCTAAAAATCAAAAAATTAGTTTTAGGCATCTTTTTTTTCTGTTAAGTTAAAACTTTATGATTAGCAATAAACCAGTAAGTCTCAGTTATGTCATTTATAAGAGAGATAATACCTAAACTAGCCATGTCACACAGAATCAATGAAAATATGGCAGAGGCAGGACATCATCCGCCCACGTAACCTATAAGAATTTAAGTATATATTTGCTTAGATTAAAGAGAGCAATTGGTTTAAGGGCAATTTAAGGGATTTAATACATACTGTCTTCGCAGATCTGCTAATTTTGAAGTCAAAGCAGATATTTCTCCAAGGGAACGTAGAATGTCATCTCTTTCTTTCGGATCGTCACATAATTCCGCTATTTTCCGAGCTTCTGCCAAAGCCCCTCGTATTTGTTCCTCTCCTTCTGGTCCACCATTTGGATCTGCAAGCCAATTCTACACAGATAGAGAAAGGGAAGAAACATATGGTGAACTGCTCATGAACCACATTTTATTAAACTTAATAAGTCTACCAGAAATATTTCTAAAGTAATCACAAAGCGCACCAGTAATCATTTTTATAAAGTTGATCCTTACTGTGTTACACAGGTTCTTAGGGAACAGCCACTCAATTCCTACCATTTCAATAACAATCTGTTTTCATCCTCATTACAATAAAATATCTTCTCAAGATTTGTCTCATCTTTGAATTAATCACACCTTATTAATGCTGCAGTTTCTTAAACATTTTTCTTTCTTTATAAAATGCTTAAAAATCATTTTATAGCAGACTAGCATCAGAAAGCTTTAACCCTTTAACACTGCTTTGACTAAATGTTGAGTTTTGAGATGAGGAACAAATTTAATATACTGTAATCTGTATCAGAAACTAAGATTCTCTTGGTACTCAATGTGCTTACTTTTAACTAATCAAAGTATTCAAAATTAAAATATTTATTTCAAAATATAAAAGGCATTAGTTTAAACTTGTGGTGGTAGGGAGGCATTAACATGGGCACCTGCTGTGAATCAGTCATCATCCAGAAACACCTTATCCATCACAGTCACTGACTAGAAAATAAATTACTCTTTCTTCCCTATGTATGACAGTTGCAGAGAGAAGGAAACAGGGAGAGAAGGAGGCAGAGCAGAAAAAAGGATATTTATGGAGCATTCTCTCTCATTATTTCTCCACCCCTCCTGAAAATCACAACACTACCTGAGCAGCATCAATCTTCTTCGCAATGCTCTGCTTTGAGTTGGTCATGGCTTCCAGCTTACGGGCTGCATTTTCCACTTTTGCTGTGAGCACATCCAGACCCTGAGACACTTGTTGGGCTTTCTGCATGGCCACCGGTGAGGCTCCTTGTCCTCTACTCAAAACAGAAAGATGCCATAGTGCTTTTCAAACAAATACTAGCAACAACTAGCAAAAGATTCCTAACACTGTAGTACCTTTTGTTTTGGTTAACATGCTTGTTTTTTGTTTTTTTTTAACCCATCTTCCTCAGTAAGTATGGGATAGCACATGAAAAGCACAGAGATAAACAAAGTAAGACATTCAAATAATCTATTTTCTCCTTTGCTTTTAAAAATACACACTACCTTACTAGAATTACATAACCACTATGAAGACTAGGTCTGCAAATTTTCTTAACAATGACTCTCTTTTTGGGGGTGATTATATAATCAAACCAAAACTTCAGGAGAAAAATGTGCTTGTGATCTTATTGCTATGGAGGGCTTTGTTACCATAGTAACGTATGCTTTAGAAATAGCCCATTAACACAACTCACTGCCACTGAGTGGATTCTGACTCATAGCAACCCCCACTGGGTTTCCAAGGCTGTAAATCTTTACTGAAGCAGACCGCCTTACCTTTCTTCTGCATAGCAGCTGGTGGATTTGAACTACCTACCTTTTGATGAGCAACCAAACCACCAGAGCTCCTACAGCCCGTTAGAATGTCTTTTTATGGGCAATATACATTGAAGGTGCTTCAGGGAACAGGATACACTGCACAGAGCAAGAAGATCTGTGTTCCAATCCTGACTCCTAGAACCTGTGAAACTTTGTTTAAGGTGTTTCACCCTCACTGGACTTCAATTTTCTAACATAAAAAATGCAAAGTGGAAAGTAACAATACTACCCCTTTCCCTGCTCATATAACAGAATTTCTTTCAGCATCAAGACAATATACCTAAAAAATACTTTGGCAATAAAGCTTTACAAATATATAACCTATTATTATTATTATTGAATCATTATCAATCTTTATCACTATAATGAACCTAATGGTAATTTTTAATTATCTACCTTCTACTCCGATACAATCAATCTAGAAATATCAAAGCCAGTTAGTACTGAGGAAAAGCATACAAGTACAAGAAACTTGTTTTCCATCAGGTTCCTAAGGAACTATTTCACTATTTTCCTCTCTGAGAACTGGCATGCTACTATTAAAAATATTGATATGAATTAGTGGAAATGGTTTACCCCATGAATGAGATTTTCCAAGTAATAACAAAGTAAGATTTACCACACAAGCTCAGATGTCTTTTATCCACTCAGCCTGGTAAATTCTATGACAGGGCTAAAAACTTTACCATTTGGTAGAATGGCATGGTTGATCATCCTAATCTGAACTTTCAATTTTAGGATAAACTCTAGAATATCCTGTGTCTCTTAATAATACAAATATATCATTAATTCATTTATTTATCCTCTTTTTAAGTGTATCTCTAAGTTTCACCTATACCAACATGGGAGGTAGTGAACTCTGTCAATTGATGTCATTGAAATATATGGTATATATAAGAGTCCCTGGATAGGACAAACATTCAAGTGCTGGGCTGCTAACTGAAATGTTGGCAGTTTAAGTCCGTCCAGAGGTACCTTAGAAGAAAGGCCTGGAAATCTACTTCCACAGGGGTGGGAATCAGCCACTGAAAACCCCATGGAGCACAGCTCTACTCTGACACACATGAAGTCTCCATGAGTGACAATCAACTCCGCAGCAATTTGTTTATAGGTATACAGTGGTATGCAAACACATGAAGTCTCCATGAGTGAGAATCAACTCTGCAGCAATTCCTTTAAAGGTATACAGTGGTACGCAAACACTACACCTTTTACTTGTAGTGGAGGCTCGTTTTTCACGTGGCACTGGAGTGGAAAACACTATGATTTAATTTGCTTTTTTCCTTCAAATCTAGTAATTCATGATGAGTAACGTTTGGGTGTAAGTTTAACTGTAAGAAAGTAAAAATATTTATTGATTCCAAAATTTTCTCACTCAAAATACAAAGTTTATTTAGTCTCATAGGGAAAAAAATATATACTTACAGCCTAAAAATCCAATTGAGCATCAGTGAGGAAATGGTTACTGCTTTTCAGCCACTAAAATGTTAAATCGCTGGGCGTGTTCAAGAAGGAATAAGAGGGAGACAGCTTTCTAATCTTTCATTGTAAACAGATATTGCAGGCTCTACTGTGAAGCAGGGCCCCTGGCTGCTCATCACCATTCCTAGCTTCTCCCTTCACAGATTGATGGTCAATCCCATTGAACAACTACTTTATTTTCTTGCTCACATTGATCTTTCTCTAAACACATACAACTGTGTATTTGAGAATTCTAAGTGAAAACTGTCTACTACATGTGAAAAAGCTGCAGACAAAAGAGCCAGCAGTGAGAAATGAGAAGCGCCAAGAATCTTGTCAAACTCCACTGGCATTTCTGCAAATAGGAACAGAACTTCTTTTTGTCCTTTCTGTACAGTTCTTGTCATGCTCATGACAGAGGAGACTGCTTCACAGCAGGAGCAAAAGGCTCACTGAGCTTAATGGGATCATGTTTATTTAAGTTGTTCCTTCTCCTTTTTAAGATAGAGATGTCTAACCTGAAGCCCCTGGAGCTTCCAGGGCTACAATGAGTACACGAACCTCTTGGAATTATATGTAATATTGTGTGGACATGTTTATACGTATTATTTTAGGTAAAGGTTAATGGCTTTCATCAAATTATAAAAGTGATCTTGGCCCAAAAAAGGTTAAGAACCAATCTTTTAAAGTCTTAAGACTTCTTAAGTCTATTATGTTAATAATATTTGATAATAATAAAATTTGAGACCAGTTGCAGTGGTATGCAATAACTTGAGGAGTATTCTCAAGCCTTGTCTGTTTGGACCCCCTGTGTATTCCAATTATCTCAAGATGTTTCATGACAGTCTCAAAAGAAAATTAAACTGTCTACATCCATTTTTAAAATGTCCATATCATAAAATTCCATAAAAATTAGAAACTTTTAGAATTTTATTAACTCTATGAATGAGTTCCAAGCAAACCTGTATTATACTCAGATTTTTCAAAGCAAAGTCTATTTAATTTACTGGGGAAAAAGTTCTAAAGCCAAGACCTGAGAAGGACAAAAGGGTGGTAAAAGAATTATGAAACCAAATGAATGATGATGAAATAGAAACTCAAGAGAGCCCAGAAATGACCAACTTAGATGATAACCTATTTAACTGATTTTAAAATTTTTATGTGAAAGAATCCAAGGTTTTTGCTCTTTATATTCCTTCTTATCTATCCTTTATTAAAGATATCTACCCAGGCCAGACTTCACCACTGACCATTATTTTTAACAAGCCTATAGCTAGAAGCTTAAAAAAAAAAAAAAATTATATTCAATTTTAATTACAGAATAAGTTTTAACTTTATTATAAAGTATTTTCATATTTTAAAACTTTCAGCAGAGAAAAGTTCACTCTCATCTCAAAGGAATTAATGAAATATAACCTCTGTATTAAGGAGTTGTGGTGGCATAGTGGGTTAAACTTTCTGGCTGCTAACCAGAAGGTCAGCTGTTCAAACCCACCAGCTGCTCTGCAGGAGGAAGATAAGGCAATCTACTTCTGTAAAGATTTTACACCCTTGGAAACCCAATGGAGGTCTCTATGAGTCGGAATTGACTCGATGGCAGTGAGTCTGGTTTTGGTTTAATCTTTACATTATCTATAAGCCAAAAAGATAATTGAGTAACACTGGTAGAGACTTGCTTTCTGAATCACCCCATTAGCAATGAGATCCTACATGTTATCCACAACGCCTCTGTTAAGAGCAGAGGTACTTTACCTGGCTCGGAGGTCAGCCACTTGATCAGTCATCTGCCCCAGCATTTTGCAGGTGCCCAGGATCTCCCTGCGTTCTTTGCCTGCACAGAGTTCACCAACTTTTCCAGCTTCATCTAAGATCTGCCTGATAGCCTGCTCGCCAGCATCCCCTAAAATGAAAAGAGATACTCAATATCTACATTGTTGACACATTAATTATTTAGAGAGGATACTTTACAACTCATTTTATTCATGAAGGAATAGATCATTTTAAATGACAAGTGAATAGAAGGCTATACATCTGATAGCTAACAGCCAAACAGAACCCTTACAACTATAGAGTAAGGTTTCAACCAGACACTGCTAAAAAGATATTCAGAACCATATCTATCTGGAGATACTAAGTAGCTTGTGGTAAAAATATGTATGACGAAAATAGACTCTAACAATTTAATAGTACTTAGCACCTCCAACCTTTTCACATTCATTCAAATATTAATCTAACACTGAATAAATATTAGATTAGAAAATCCATAAAACCTAGCTCAATAACCTATTTGGGTCTTATGTTTATATAGTCAGCTTTGCTTTCTGATTCTTATTGGCATCATCATTTAATTGGCTTAATTAAGTACTTTGTTGACATAAATGGAAGTCTGCCCAATGGGAACGAGAAGAGCTTCTATTTAAAACAGTACCTATCTAATTCAAGGAAGGAGTAAACCAGTACATTTATAAATAATGCCCAATTCAGCTTGGTTTATTCCTCCATGATGAGAGATGACATGGTCTCTGCCCTTCAGTCCTTTGAAGGCCCAGCAATACTTCATTTATCTAAAATGATCAGAATGGGATATAGGGCTATGGTCTAAAATGTTACAGTAGTTATCTCAGGCTTATGATATTATTATAAGAGAATTCCTGCTTTCTTTGCATCTTCTTTCCTCTCCTGCATTCATGTTGCTTGCTTGTTTTTTAGCTTTCTGTTATATATATCAGAAAAGCAGAGCCAGAGGATTACCTGGGGAGGCACTGGGGTCACGAAGCCAACCTTTGGCCTGGTTCAGTTTGGAATCTATGGAGGCCAACGCTCTCTTCATGGCTTCAGTGTCCTTTGAAGAGAAATTCTCACAGTGATTTTCTTTTCAAAAATTGAGATACCAAGACATAAAGTAAGACAGAAGAGAAGTTACAGCATTAACATACAATAGCTAAAGTAGTCCTACAACAGCCTTAAAAATATTCTCATCACATCACAACCCTTATCTGTAAAAATGCAGCATCTTGCATGCAGATCATTGGTTAATTCTGTTTCCCGGTGCTCCTGTTGCTAAAACTATGAAAACTGCTAAAATCGCTCAAGCCAAAAGATGTTTAATGTCTCCAGCAGGAAAAAGCCCTGTTGTCACATGCCTCATTATCAGCCTTTCCACTAGTCAACATTCATCTACTTGGCAGCCCTGCCAAAGCCCTCCCAGCTTCAGGAAAGCCTCATTAGTATGTGGTGCCACAAGTCACAGTTCTTTTACATCTTGTTTTGAAATACACACACACATTGGATGATGTATCACTATATTTAATTAATCTGAAAAATTCTGAATTACTGATTGGAAAAAAATTGAAAATGTTAATCTAGTAATTTATTTCAAATTCTACAACTAAACTAAATATAACATAAGAATATTTTTCTGGCCTTCCCCGCCTTCCTTATGCTTCATTTCCTTGCCATGCCTAACCTAGAAGAAGAGGTGGGATGAAGTAAGTGGGTTTCAATTTACTGTTACAACCAGGATTCATGATGGCTACCATAAAACCTTTTATTTTCCAGGATATAGCATGGCAAGCTGAGACAACAAATTATTCACTTTAAAAAATAGGGGGAAAAAAATCAATAAAACTTTTTTAAATATAGAAAAATGCAGAGAACAATATAACAATTATCCAAATACTTGTCTTTAGAATTGAGAAAATGGCCATCTCTTAAGTATCTTTAACATCTTAAAAGTCAGCCTTCCTCCTTTTTGCTCTAGGGAACCGATTCTGACAGAGTCCCATCCATCAAAGCACAGAGTTAACGTCAGAAATGATAAGTAATACCTTAAACTTTCAATTTTCAGACCTTGCACGACTGGGCTTCTTAAAGGTGTTACACCCCAGTTTTCCACATGGGGGCATTAGGAACATCCTCATTTCCATTTCAAACAAGACACAGCCATGCAAAACTGAGCTCAGGAAGCATTCATAGCTAGGCTAAAGTCCGCAGCCTGACCCCGCTTTTCCAATGTGCCTATTCAAATGACAGTACTTTCAGCTTTAGGATTACCCATGTAAAGAGATATAGATCCCCTGCAGCTCTGGTGGCATAGTGAGTAAGGCATCTGGCTACTAACCAGAAGGTTGTAGTCCAAACCCACCAGCTGCAGAGGCCAGTGGGTTTGGTTTTGGTTGATAACCGAGATAGTACTAGCTAAGGCTCTAAATAGGAAATTCTCAACTAAAGGGAGGGGATCTAAATTAGTGAAAAAATGGAAATATAATACAAAGGTCAACTTTGGCTTAATTACTTTAGCTTAATCATCAAGCAAGGCCCAAATCAATACCTTTTTCAAGAGCGCCTCAGGCAACTCTTAACCTTAGAGAGTCAAGTTGGATAGCCTTTAAGGTCTAACCTGTTATAGGGCTTTGTCTAGGTACAGATTTTTTTTTTTTTTAAATTAGGATTTGGGTGAAGATTTACAGAGTAAATTCACTTTTCATACAGCAGTTCACATATACTTTGTCTCATGTCATTGACCAAAATTTACAATGCAGCAGCTCCCCTCCCACTTCCTCCCCACAGTTACCTCCTCCCAGTGTCCATCCCTTCATACTCTTCTGCACCCTGAGCTATCTCCCTGTGCATAAGCAGCCCTTCCTTCTCCCATGATTGTTCTCTCCAGGGCATGTGTCTACTTGAGGTAAATGTTTAACTCACATGCCTGTACTTTGTTTGGCTAGAAACCACAGTTTAGGTACAGATTTTTAAAAAATTAAAATTCACAAATTCTTACTTTGGAAGAATGTGCACAACCTGGAGAATAGAAATTATGTCAATGTAAAAAGATTTAATTTAAGACCTATTAAATTAATACCCATTTCCCTAACATATATATTTTCAGTGAGAAAACCAAAAGGTAGATATATTACATTTCAGAAATCTAAATTCAAAGGGAAACAAAAGTTAGAAATTATTTAGTGCTAACTCTAATACTAAAAACTGACTAGTTAGGAAACTAACTTTAATTGAGCATTTCCTACAGGTTAGGTTCTGTTTTAGGTATCCAACCCCCTCCCTCCCGCCCCATTACCTCAGTAAGCCTCAATTTTAAATGTAATTTAAATTTAAAAATTAAGAAACAAGTGCTCAGAAAAGTTAAGTGATATGTTCAAGTCATGTTGTTGTTGTTATGTGCCGTCGAGTTGGCCCCGACTCATAGTGACTCCTCCTTGGGTTTCCGAGGCAGTATCACTATGGAAGTAGATTGCCCAACCTTCCTTCCGAGGAGTGGCTGGTGGGTTTGAACCGCCAGCCTTCTGGTTAGCAGTCAAGTGCCTTAGGCACTATGCTACCAGAGTTCCTTGTTCAAGTCATAGACCTAATAAATCCTAGAAACCAATTTGATCTTGGATTTGTCGACTCCTAAACTTTTTATTTCATATCAGATGAAACTTAAAAGTCTCTTCTTTGAGTTGCCAAGCATTCCACTTATTTTCTACAACAGTTGGCAAATCTCTGTCTTATTCATTTTGCTTTTGTTAATTTGGCACAGAAAAGAAGTTCTAGACATCAAACTCATAATCCTCACTCACCTAAATGACTGATTTTATTTTTCCACTGCCCCCAAATGATCTGAAGCACAATGGAAAAATTGGCTTTGCTCTATTCAGTATCTTCACAATCATTTTCTCCTCCCTCATAAAGCTCAAATGGTCACTCCACAACAAGTAAAGAATGTGATTCTCAGGAAGGGAGTATAGTATGTTACTCCTGAGTGGGAGAAATGACAACATCAACAAGTTAAAATTAAGAGATACTCATTTGCTCCAAAAGAATCAATGGCAAATTTGGAATTAAACTGAATTTTAAAACTAAGAATGTTGATTAGTTTTAGAAGCTTTTAATTCAGAACTTGACTTTTCAATAATTTTGAAGATTTAAAATAGTCACTGAAAGGGCTAAGTTATTTCTGAAAAAGCTCAATTAGGGAAAAAATACATGTTATAAATCCTAGCTCTTATACCTGTGGTTAAGGAGCTTTGGCAGTGCCCTAAAGCATCTGACCGCTAACCAGATGTTTAGCAGTTCAAACCCACCAGCTACTCCACAGAAGGAAGACTGGGCAATCTACCATAAAATTTACTGCCTTAGAAACCCAATGGGGGTCACTATGAGTCAGAATCAACTCGATGGCAGTGAGTTTGGGTTTGGTTTGGCTTTTATACCTGTGGTTATACTCCCATTTGAGAATGGTTTTTCTTTGTTGTAATAATGAAGCAGTATTAGTTTAGATTGGATTTAAGTCACTCTCTTATTTTTTTTTTCTCTACAGAGACCCTTTTATTAAGCCTTAAATAGGATAAAAAAAAAAAAACAAAGACAATCATCCAGATGAGGGAAACCATCAGCATGTACCTAGTAGACAGGCTGATGCAATCTGGCTGAATCACAGCCATGATGCTTATCAGATATGATAGAGGACAAAGAAAATCACAAGACCATGATTGGTGGCAGGTCAACTCATCACTGTCATAGGTGGGACTTCAAAAGCAAGGAAAGGACTATTATTAGGAACATACACAACTGCACATTTAAAAAGGTTACAGGATTGACTGTTTTCAGTAAATCATTTAGGACATGCCCAGGCAAATTCCCTAGTTCTTTGTGTAAGCACCCTTCTGCATACTAGTTAATCCACTTTCAACTACATTCTTCCTGAAGGCATACTGCCCCTTCCTGGGCTTGGCCTTGGACTTGTCTAAGCATAGCTACATTGTTGAAGTAACACAACTCAAATGGAGTCTGAATTTATGTCAAGACTCAAAATGGAGGTAGGGCTCTAGCTGTAGACTGCCATCTACCATAAACCAAGTGCTTTAGAATTTAAGCTCTCATGTATTTCCTCTTCTTAACCATTGATTTTATTTAAAATCCTTTGATCACTCTTAGTTTAGTATGCTTTCTTCTGCATGGACTGGTTGATGGCTTTTTCAGATGGCTGCTTGTTTTAGGGCAGGCTTTAAGTTAAGCTCTTTTGAGCTACAAAGAGAGCAAATTTAGTGAGCAAATTGAGTAAGCAAGGAAGCAAGCAAATAGAGATGGTGGAAGACAGATGCCACACCACATGAGATCCCCAAGGAACCAAAAAACAGAAGCTGAAAAGAGACAAGGACCTTCTCCCAGAGCCAAGAGAGAAAGCATTCCCTTAGAGCTGGCACCCAGAATTTGGACTTCTAGCCTCCTAAACTGTGCAAAAATGAATGTCTGTTTGCTAAAGTTATCCAGTCATGTTATTACTATTACAGCAGCATTAGAAACCTAAGACAAACAGGTTTTTAAAAAAATCACTTAAAGACTGTTGTCTTTTAATAACATACATCTTAAAAACAAAAGTATCTATGGGAACAAATATCTTTATCTAAAAATCTCACAAATATTTCCTTTGAAGGCTAATAGTTATGACAGATAATGCATTGCTTATAAGGTGTACACTAACATTGGATATATAAACAAATTCATTGGGAACTAGGAACAGAAGTCAATTTTGAGATTTATCTATAAAGGGTGAAATGATCATAACCCTCATGGTCAACCAAAACACATACCACAAAGCTTTTTGTTAAACCATTTCATCTAGATCTAAGTACCCAAAGTACAGTCTGGATATGAAATAAAAGAGTAAGAAACTATACCTTCATTGGAGCACTTTTTTCTATAAAATCTCAAATTTGTGAAAGAGAAAAAGTTTCTCCTGATCTCTTATCCAGTGTGTTATTTTTAGAGTGGGTGTAAAAAGATCAAATCCAGTCATCAAACTTGGACAGCTGGCAGGGATCTGGTTCCCTCCCCTACTCC